TAGCGGTCACTACAACTAGGACGGCAGGTAGCCTAGCGGTCACTACACTAGGACGGCAGGTAGCCTAGCGGTCACTGCACTAGGACGGCAGGTAGCCTAGCGGTCACTACACTAGGACGGCAGGTAGCCTAGCGGTCACTACACTAGGACGGCAGGTAGCCTAGCGGTCACTACACTAGGACGGCAGGTAGGCTAGCGGTCACTGCACTAGGACGGCAGGTAGCCTAGCGGTCACTACACTAGGACGGCAGGTAGCCTAGCGGTCACTACACTAGGACGGCAGGTAGCCTAGCGGTCACTACACTAGGACGGCAGGTAGCCTAGCGGTCACTACACTAGGACGGCAGGTAGCCTAGCGGTCACTACACTAGGACGGCAGGTAGGCTAGCGGTCACTGCACTAGGACGGCAGGTAGCCTAGCGGTCACTACACTAGGACGGCAGGTAGGCTAGCGGTCACTACACTAGGACGGCAGGTAGCCTAGCGGTCACTACACTAGGACGGCAGGTAGGCTAGCGGTCACTGCACTAGGACGGCAGGTAGCCTAGCGGTCACTACACTAGGACGGCAGGTAGCCTAGCGGTCACTACACTAGGACGGCAGGTAGCCTAGCGGTCACTACACTAGGACGGCAGGTAGGCTAGCGGTCACTGCACTAGGACGGCAGGTAGCCTAGCGGTCACTACACTAGGACGGCAGGTAGCCTAGCGGTCACTACACTAGGACGGCAGGTAGCCTAGCGGTCACTACACTAGGGACGGCAGGTAGCCTAGCGGTCACTACACTAGGGACGGCAGGTAGCCTAGCGGTCACTACACTAGGACGGCAGGTAGCCTAGCGGTCACTACACTAGGACAGCAGGTAGCCTAGCGGTTAAGAGCTTTGGGCCAGTAACTGCATATGTCAGTGCCAGTCTGTTGGAGCTATCATGCCAACTCCTTGTCAACCGTTGTCATGCCAACTCCTTGTCAACCGTTGTCATGCCAAACATAGATGGACAATGAGCAGAAACACTACCGGTCACGAGTTTGGACACACCTACTCATTCAAGGGTTTTTCTTTATTTGTACTCTTTTCTACATTGTAGAATAATATTGAAGACATCAAAACTATGAAATAACACATATGGAATAATGTAATAACCAAAAAAATTGTTAAACAAATCAGAATATATTTTATATTTGAGATTCTTCAAATAGTCACCCTTTGCCTTGATGACAGCTTTGCACACTCTTGGCATTCTCTCAACCAGCTTCACCTGGAATGCTTTTCCAACAGTCATGAAGGAGTTCCCACATATGCTGAGCACTTGTTGACAGCTTTTCCTTCACTCTGCGGTCCGACTCATCCCAAACCATCTCAATTGGGTTGAGGTCGAGGCATGATGGAGGCCAGGTCATCTGTTGCAGCACTCCATCACTCTCCTTCTTGGTAAAATAGCCCTTACACAGCCTGGAGGTGTGTTGGGTCATTGTCCTGTTGAAAAACAAATGATAGTCCCACTAAGCCCAAACCAGATGTGATGGCGTGTCGCTGCATATTGTGGTAGCCATGCTGGTTAAGTGTGCCTTGAATTCAAATATATCACAGACAGTGTCACCAGCAAAGCACCCCCACACCATAACACCTCCTCCTCCATGCTTTACGGTGGGAAATACACATGCAGAGATCATCCGTTCACCCACACCGCGTCTCACAAAGACACGGTGGTTGGAACCAAAAATCTCAAATTTGGACTCCAGACTAAAGGTCACATTTCCACCGGTCTAATGTCCATTGCTCGTGTTTCTTGGCCCAAGCAAGTCTCTTCTTCTTATTGGTGTCCTTTAGTAGTGGTTTCTTTGCTGCAATTCCAAATAAAATAAAATGTTATTTGCCACATGCGCCGAATACAACAGGTGTAGACGTTACAGTGAAATGCTTACTTATTAGCCCTTAACCAACAATGCATTTTTTTTTAAGGAAAAAAAAAAGGAAAAGCAAATAACTATAGAGTAGCAGTAAAATAAAATAACAGTAGGGAGGCTAAATAATAATATAATAATATGCCATTTAGCAGACACTTTTATCCAAAGCGACTTACAGTCATGTGCACATACATTTTTACGTATGGGTGGTCCCGGGGATCGAACCCACTACCCTGGCGTTACAAGCGCCATGCTCTACCAATTGAGCTACAGAGGACCACAGGGGGGTACCAGTGCAGAGTCAATGTGCGGGGGCACCGGCTAGTCGAGGTAATTGAGGTAATATGTACATGTAGGTAGAGTTAAAGTGACTATGCATAGATAATTATCAGAGAGTAGCAGCAGCGTAAAAGAGGGGGTGGGGTGGGGTGGCAGTGCAAATAGTCTGGGTAGCCATTTGATTAGATGTTCAGGAGTCTTATGGCTTGGGGGTAGAAGTTGTTGAGAAGCCTTTTGGACCTAGACTTGGCGCTCCGGTACCGCTTGCCGTGCGGTAGCAGAGAGAACAGTCTATGACTAGGGTGGCTGGAGTCTTTGACAATTTTGAGGGCCTTCATTTACATTACATTTACATTTACGTCATTTAGCAGACGCTCTTATCCAGAGCGACTTACAAATTGGTGCATTCACTTTATAGCCAGTGGGATAACCACTTTACAATTATTATTATTATTATTATTATTATTATTATTATTATTATTATTATTATTATTATTATTATTATTATTATTTATTTATTTTGGGGGGGGGTGGGGGGTAAGGGGGCGGTTAGAAGGATAACTTTATCCTATCCCAGGTGTTCCTTAAAGAGGTGGGGTTTCAAATGTTTCCGGAAGGTGGTGAGTGACTCCGCTGTCCTGGCGTCGTGAGGGAGCTTGTTCCACCATTGGGGTGCCAGAGCAGCGAACAGTTTTGACTGGGCTGAGCAGGAACTGTGCTTCAGCAGAGGTAGGGGAGCCAGCAGGCCAGAGGTGGATGAACGCAATGCCCTCGTTTGGGTGTAGGGATGATCAGAGCCTGAAGGTACGGAGGTGCCGTTCCCCTCACAGCTCCGTAGGCAAGCACCATGGTCTTGTAGCAGATGCGAGCTTCAACTGGAAGCCAGTGTAGTGTGCGGAGGAGCGGGGTGACGTGAGAGAACTTGGGAAGGTTGAACACCAGACGGGCTGCGGCAATCTGGATGAGTTGTAGGGGTTTAATGGCACAGGCAGGGAGCCCAGCCAACAGCGAGTTGCAGTAACCCAGACGGGAGATGACAAGTGCCTGGATTAGGACCTGTGCCGCTTCCTGTGTAAGGCAGGGTCGTACTCTCCGAATGTTGTAGAGCATGAACCTACAGGATCGGGTCACCGCATTGATGTTAGCGGAGAACGCCTGGTATAGAGGTCCTGGATGGCAGGAAGCTTGGCCCCAGTGATGTACTGGGCCGTACGCACTACCCTCTGTAATGCCTTGCGGTTGGAGGCCGAGCAGTTGCCATACCAGGCGGTGATGCAACCAGTCGGGTTGCTCTCGATGGTGCAGCTGTATAACTTTTTGAGGATCTGAGGACCCATGCCAAATCTTTTCAGTCTCCTGAGGAGGAATAGGCTTTGTCGTGCCCTCTTCACGACTGTCTTGGTGTGTTTGGACCATGATAGTTTGTTGGTGATGTGGACACCAAGGAACTTGAAGCTCTCAACCTGTTCCACTACAGCCCCGTCGGTGAGAATGGGGGCGTGCTCAGTCCTCTTTTTTTCCCCTGTAGTCTACAATCATCTCCTTTGTCTTGATCACGTTGAGGGAGAGGTTGTTATCCTGGCACCACCCGGCCATGTCTCTGACCTCCTCCCTATAGGCTGTCTCATCGTTGTCGGTGATCAGGCATACCACTGTTGTGTCGTCGGCAAACTTAATGATGGTGTTGGAGTCGTGCCTGGCCATGCAGTCATGGGTGAACAGAGAGTACAGGAGGGGACTGAGCACGCACCCCTGAGGGGCCCCTGTGTTGAGGATCAGCGGATGTGTTGTTACCTAAACTGCGTTGCCTCTTCAGAAAGTTGAAGTGAAATACGATTCAATGTTACGTCACCTCCCTGTCTCCTCAATACAATACGATTCACTGATGCATTTTGTTTAATCTGGTCCATATTAATACATGTTCTAATACGTTTTTCCTGCTACATTTTTCAATGTTGTTGAATTCGGTTTGAAGGTTTACTGTCTGGATTCTGTGATTCCGTTCTCTGCAGATTTGAAATGGTATTGTAGTTATTACCGCTGCTGTAGAGCTTACCAGAACACCTTCAGTCTATGTGAAGCGGTGTTGCAATAACATAATGCATCTGCTTTTCCCTCATCCATGTTATTTATTCAAGCTGAATAAAAGGAAACATATGGTGACATATAATACTGAAATACTTTCCCCCAGAATGATCATATAATAGTGAAATACTTTCCCCCAGAATGATCATATAATAGTGAAATAATTTCCCCCAGAATAATTCTGACCTCAGTGTTGTATATCATAGGATGATGTTCCTGACTGTGGTGTTCTCTTCTGGATAATATCCTAACCCCTGATCCAGTGTTGTCTGCTGTACGATGATGTCCTAACCCCCTGATCCAGTGTTGTCTGCTGTACGATGATGTCCTAACCCCTGATCCAGTGTTGTCTGCTGTACGATGATGTCCTAACCCCCTGATCCAGTGTTGTCTGCTGTACGATGATGTCCTAACCCCTGATCCAGTGTTGTCTGCTGTACGATGATGTCCTAACCCCCTGATCCAGTGTTGTCTGCTGTACGATGATGTCCTAACCCCTGATCCAGTGTTGTCTGCTGTACGATGATGTCCTAACCCCTGATCCAGTGTTGTCTGCTGTACGATGATGTCCTAACCCCTGATCCAGTGTTGTCTGCTGTACGATGATGTCCTAACCCCTGATCCAGTGTTGTCTGCTGTACGATGATGTCCTAACCCCTGATCCAGTGTTGTCTGCTGTACGATGATGTCCTTACCCCCTGACCCTTAACTCACACTCTCTTTCTCCAGATGACCGGTCTTGTGTCATGTCCCAGCGGTCTGCTAGTCATTGGCCTCTGCCTCGCACTTTCCTCCGTCAACGCCCAGTCAGCGATATGGACCAATGAAGGTAAGAGACACTAACCCTAACCCAAACCCCTGTAAGACATGGACCAATAACGTAAAGACTAAATCAGCCCTACTGTATAACAGCTCTACCCTGCACCTTAGAGACTGCTGCCCTGTGTACCGTTGAAGTCGGAAGTTTACATACACCTTAGCCAAATACATTTAAACTCAGTTTTTCACAATTCCTGACATTTAATCCTAGTACAAATTCCCTGTCTTAGGTCAGTTAGGATCACCAGTTTATTTTAAGAATGTGAAATGTCAGAATAATAGTAGAGAGAATGATTTATTTAAGCTTTTATTTCTTTCATCACATTCCCAGTGGGTCAGAAGTTTACATGCACTCAATTAGTATTTGGTAGCATTGCCTTTAAATTGTTTAACTTGGGTCAAACGTTTTGGGTAGCCTTCCACAAGCTTCCCACAATAAGTTGGGTGAATTTTGGCCCATTCCTCCTGACAGAGCTGGTGTAACTGAGTCAGGTTTGTAGGCCTCCTTGCTCGCTCACGCTTTTTCAGTTCTGCCCACAATTTTCTATAGGATTGAGGTCAGGACTTTGTGATGGCCACTCCAATACCTTGACTTTGTTGTCCTTAAACCATTTTGCCACAACTTTGAAAGTATGCTTGGGGTCATTGTCCATTTGGAAGACCCATTTGCGACCAAGCTTTAACTTCCTGACTGATGTCTTGAGATGTTGCTTCAATCTATCCACATAATTTTCCTTCCTCATGATGCCATCTATTTTGTGAAGTGCACCAGTCCCTCCTGCAGCAAAGCACCCCCTCAGCATGATGCTGCCACCCCCGTGCTTCACGGTTGGGATGGTGTTCTTCGGCTTGCAAGCGACCCCCTTTTTCCTCCAAACATAACGATGGTCATTATGGCCAAACAGTTCTATTTTTGTTTCATCAGACCAGAGGCCATTTCTCCAAAAAGTACGATCTTTGTCCCCATGTGCAGTTGCAAACCGCTTTGCACACTCTTGGCATTCTCTCAACCAGCTTCACCTGGAATGCTTTTACAACAGTCATGAAGGAGTTCCCACATATGCTGAGCACTTGTTGGCTGCTTTTCCTTCACTCTGCCGTCAAACTCATCCCAAACCATCTCAATTGGGTTGAGGTCGGGGGATTGTGGACGCCAGGTCATCTGATGCAGCATTCCATCACTCTCCTTCTTGGTAAAATAGCCCTTACACAGCCTGGAGGTGAGTTGGGTCATTGTCCTGTTGAAAAACAAATGATAGTCCCACTAAGCACAAACCAGATGAGATGGCGTATCGCTGCAGAATGCTGTGGTAGCCATGCTGGTTAAGTGTGCCTTGAATTCTAAATAAATCACAGACAGTGTCACCAGAAAAGCACCCCCACACCATAACACCTCCTCCTCCATGCTTTACGGTGGGAAATACACATGCAGAGATCATCCGTTCACCCACACCGCTTCTCACAAAGACACGGCGGTTGGAACCAAAAATCTCCAATTTGGACTCCTGACCAATAGACACATTTCCACCGGTCTAATGTCCATTGCTCCTGTTTCTTGGCCCAAGCAGGTCTCTTCTTATTATTGGTGTCCTTTAGTAGTGGTTTCTTGCAGCAATTTGAACATGAGGCATGACTAACACAGTCTCCTCTGAACAGTTGATGTGTCTGTTACTTGAACTCTGTGAAGCATTTATTTGGGCTGCAATTTCTGAGGCTGGTAACTCTAATGAACTTGTCCTCTACAGCAGAGGTAACTCTGGGTCTTCCATTCCTGTGGTGGTCCTCATGAGAGCCAGTTTCATCATAGCGCTTGATGGTTTTTGCAACTGCACTTCAAGAAACTTTCAAATTTCTTGAAATGTTCCATATTGACTGACCTTCATGTCTTAAAGTAATGATGGACTGTCGTTTCTCTTTGCTTATTTGAGCTGTTCTTGCCATAATATGGACTTGGTCTTTTACCAAATAGGGCTATCTTCTGTATACCACCCCTACCTTGTCTCAACACAACTGATTGGCTCAAATTCATTAAGAAGGAATGAAATTCCACAAATTAACTTTTAAGAAGGCACACCTGTTAATTGAAATGCATTCTAGGTGACTACCTCATGAAGCAGGTTGAGAGAATGCCAAGAGTGTGCAAAGCTGTCGTCAAGGCAAAGTGTGGCTACTTTGAAGAATCTCAAATATAAAATATATTTTGATTTGTTTAACACTTTTTTGGTTACTACATGATTCCACATGTGTTATTAGATTTGATGTCTTCACTAATTATTCTACAATGTAGAAAATAGTAAAAATAAAGAAAAACCCTGGAATGAGTAGGTGTGTCCAAACTTTTGACCATTACTTTATGTGCATATTATGTGTGAGTAAACAGAGAGTGTTTGTGTGAGTACGCAAGGCCCTGCATAGAGACGGAGCAAAACAAAAAATGAAAGGTCAATAAAGATACAAGGTTATTTTGTTTTGTGTGTGAGTGTGTTGAGTCCTGTGAGCGTGCATAAAGACAGTGCAACATTTTTAATTAAATAAAGGGTCAACTCAGATAGTCCGTGTAGCCAATCTCTTAGCTATGTATCAGTCTTATGGCTTGGGGATAGAAGCTGTTCAGGAGCCTGTTGGTGTCAGACTTGATGCACCGGGAACCTCTTGCCGTGTGGAAGCAGAGAGAACCGTCTATGGCTTGGGGGGCTGGAGTCTTTAACGATTTTCCAGGCCTTCCTACCACACCAACCTGATATAGAGGTCCTGGATAGCAGGGAACTCTGCCCCATTGATGTACTGGGCTGTCCGCACCACCTGATATAGAGGTCCTGGATAGCAGGGAACTCTGCCCCATTGATGTACTGGGCTGTCCGCACCACCTGATATAGAGGTCCTGGATAGCAGGGAACTCTGCCCCATTGATGTACTGGGCTGTCCGCACCAACCTCTGTAGCGCCATACGATCGAGGGCAGTGCTATTGCCATACCAAGCAGTGATGCAGCCAGTCAAAATACTCTCAATGGTGCAGCTGTAGAACGTTTTGAGGATTTGAGGGCCCCCATGTCAAACTTGTTCAACCTCCTGATGTTTTTCAAGGGCTTCTTCACGACTGTGCGTGTGTGTTTGGACCATTTTAAGTCTTTAGTGATTTGTACTCAGAGGAACTTGAAGCTCTCAACCTGGAAGCTCTCAAGCATTGTTGGTTAAGGGCTTGTAAGTAAGCATTTCACGGTAAGGTCTACACCTGCTTTATTCGGCGCATGTGACAAATAAAAATGTATTTGATTTGATTCTCAGTTGATTTGACTATTGTCTCATTCATTTAAGCTATTTGAGGTTTTTAGTATAGTTGTCTAATGTTGGTATATTATTCTGTTTTAATGTTACTCCTCAATCACTATGATAAATATCATAGTTTTTCTTTAGTGTATTTTTAACAGAGCTGAGATTTACTTTGAAGTGTAAAGTGTAAGAATAATGAAATCAGTCAATGACATCTACCATCTACCATCTACCATCTACCATCTACCACCTACCATCTACCATCTACCATCTACCATCTACCATCTACCATCTACCACCTACCACCTACCATCTACCATCTACCATCTACCATCTACCACCTACCACCTACCATCTACCATCTACCACCTACCATCTACCATCTACCATCTACCATCTACCATCTACCACCTACCACCTACCACCTACCACCTACCATCTACCATCTACCACCTACCACCTACCACCTACCACCTACCACCTACCACCTACCATCTACCATCTACCATCTACCATCTACCACCTACCACCTACCACCTACCACCTACCATCTACCATCTACCACCTACCATCTACCATCTACCATCTACCATCTACCACCTACCATCTACCATCTACCATCTACCATCTACCATCTACCATCTACCATCTACCATCTACCATCTACCATCTACCATCTACCACCTACCACCTACCACCTACCACCTACCATCTACCATCTACCATCTACCATCTACCATCTACCATCTACCACCTACCACTACCATCTACCATCTACCATCTACCATCTACCACCTACCATCTACCATCTACCATCTACCATCTACCATCTACCATCTACCATCTACCATCTACCATCTACCATCTACCATCTACCATCTACCACCTACCACCTACCACCTACCATCTACCATCTACCATCTACCATCTACCACAGTATATGTTTTATACAACAGCCTTCTGTGTTATTCTCTTTTCGACTCCATCCGCAATCAAACGCCAGATTTTTCTCCATCTCCTTAGCTATCATACTCTGCTTCCACCGGGCATTCCACTGATTTTAAAACTTGGTCCTCCAGAAAGTGGAGAGCCGTAGCAACACTTTCACAGTTCTTCATGATATCTTTCAAAAAAGCGGCTTTAGAAAGGATTACCTACACATACTAAGCAGTTCATGTTATAGACAGAAGTGTGCTACGTGGTAAACCAATCCGGACTCATCTCTCGCCATGTCCAGCCCATCCATTATAACAGCCAATCATGGCTAGTGGGAAGGTTCCTGACTTTTTCTGTGGCTAAACCAACTAGGCTCGTAATTTAACAATTTTATTTGTATTTACAGATGGCATACAAGTTTGTTATTAAGCCACATGAAAGTTCACGTTCCAGAAGTTTCTGTTTCTGCCAAAAAACGATTTAGATTTTTTTACCCTCAAATGCCTCTCCTGTGAAGTAGTGAAACTAGTCAATTTTTACAAATTAATTAAAAATGAAAAGCTGAAATGTCTTCATTCAATAATTATTCAACCCCTTTGTTATGGATAGCCTAAATAAGTTCATGAGTAAAAATGTGCTTAACATTCATAATAAGTTGCACTGTGTGCAAAAATTGTGTTTAAAATGATTTTTGAATGACTACCCCATCTCGGTACCACACACATACAATTATCTGTAAGGTCCCTCAGTCGAGCAGTGAATTTCAAACACAGATTCAACCACAAAGACCAGGGAGGTCTTCCAATGCCTCGCAAAGAAGGGCAAATATTGGTAGATGGGTAAAAATAAAAAAAAGCAGACATTGAATATCCCTTTGAGCATGGTGAAGTTATTAATTACACTTTGGATGGTGTATCAATACACTCAGTCACTACAAGGATACAGGCGTCCTTCCTAACTCAATTGCCAGAAAGGAAGGAAACCGCTCTCAGGGATTTCACCATGAGGCCAACGGTGACTGTAAAACAGTTAGAGAGTTTAATGGCTGTGATAGGAGAAAATGGAGGATGGATCAACAACATTGTAGTTACTCCACAATACTAACCTATTTGACAGAGTGAAAAGAAGGAAGCCTGTACAGAATACAAATATTCAAAAAAATGCATCCTGTTTGCAACAAGGCACTAAAGTAAAACTGCAACAAAAAAAAGAATTTCAGTATTTCATTTTCAATTCATTTGCAAACAATTCTAAAAACATGTTTTCACTTTGTCATTATGGGGTATTGAGTGTAGATGGGTGAGATGTTTTGTTGTTGATTTAATCCATATTGAATCCGGTCTGTAACACAACACAATGAATACTGTCTGAAGGCACCTATTCGGCTGCAAACGGTAGTTTACAAATCCTGACTGTCCTGAAGACTTATAGGAGGACTGTAACTGTTTATAGATGGTTGCTATGTAACAGCAGCCACAACAGGAAGCTCTAACATGTCTTTGTGTAGAGAGACTATACTTTAGGTCATAGGGGTTGTAAATCCTGAAGCTCTTACATCTCTGCCTTGTCTAGTTTCAGATGTTCAGTATGGGAGGCTGGGGTCCAACGTCACGCTGGTGTGTGGAGCGGCACTGGACAGGTATGTTCCCTATACAGGGCTCTGGGGGGGTCTGGACAGGTATGTTCCCTATACAGGGCTCTGGGGGGGTCTGGTCAGGTATGTTCCCTATACAGGGCTCTGGGGGGGGTCTGGACAGGTATGTTCCCTATACAGGGCTCTGGGGGGGTCTGGGATGGGGATGTTCCCTATACAGGGCTCTGGGGGGGTCTGGACAGGTATGTTCCCTATACAGGGCTCTGGAGGGGTCTGGTCAGGTATGTTCCCTATACAGAGCTATGGGGGGTCTGGACAGGTATGTTCCCTATACAGGGCTCTGGGGGGGTCTGGACAGGTATGTTCCCTATACAGGGCTCTGGGGGGGGTCTGGGATGGGGATGTTCCCTATACAGGGCTCTGGGGGGGTCTGGGATGGGGATGTTCCCTATACAGGGCTCTGGGGGGGTCTGGACAGGTATGTTCCCTATGCAGGGCTCTGGGGGGGTCTGGACAGGTATGTTCCCTATACAGGGCTCTGGGGGGGTCTGGACAGGTATGTTCCCTATACAGGGCTCTGGGGGGGTCTGGGATGGGGATGTTCCCTATACAGGGCTCTGGGGGGGTCTGGTCAGGTATGTTCCCTATACAGGGCTCTGGGGGGGGGGATGTTCCCTATACAGGGCTCTGGGGGGGTCTGGACAGGTATGTTCCCTATGCAGGGCTCTGGGGGGGTCTGGGATGGGGATGTTCCCTATACAGGGCTCTGGAAGGGGGTCTGGGATGGGGATGTTCCCTATACAGGGCTCTGGGGGGGTCTGGACAGGTATGTTCCCTATACAGGGCTCTGGGGGGGTCTGGACAGGTATGTTCCCTATACAGGGCTCTGGGGGGGGGGTCTGGACAGGTATGTTCCCTATACAGGGCTATGGGGGGGTCTGGGATGGGGATGTTCCCTATACAGGGCTCTGGGGGGGTCTGGGATGGGGATGTTCCCTATACAGGGCTCTGGGGGGGGTCTGGACAGGGATGTTCCCTATACAGGGCTCTGGGGAGGGGTCTGGACAGGTATGTTCCCTATACAGGGCTCTGGGGGGCCTGGACAGGTATGTTCCCTATACAGGTCTCTGGGGGGGGTCTGGGATGGGGATGTTCCCTATACAGGGCTCTGGGGGGGTCTGGACAGGTATGTTCCCTATACAGGGCTCTGGGGGGGTCTGGACAGGTATGTTCCCTATACAGGGCTCTGGGGGGGTCTGGACAGGGGATGTTCCCTATACAGGGCTCTGGGGGGGTCTGGTATGGGGATGTTCCCTATACAGGGCTCTAGGGGGGTCTGGACAGGTATGTTCCCTATACAGGGCTCTGGGGGGGGGTCTGGACAGGTATGTTCCCTATACAGGGCTCTGGGGGGGTCTGGACAGGGGATGTTCCCTATACAGGGCTCTGGGGGGGTCTGGTATGGGGATGTTCCCTATACAGGGCTCTGGGGGGGTCTGGACAGGTATGTTCCCTATGCAGGGCTCTGGGGGGGTCTGGACAGGTATGTTCTCTATACAGGGCTCTGGGGGGTCTGGACAGGTATGTTCCCTATACAGGGCTCTGGGGGGGTCTGGACAGGTATGTTCCCTATACAGGGCTCTGGGGGGGTCTAGGATGGGGATGTTCCCTATACAGGGCTCTGGGGGGGGGGGGGGGGGGGGGTCTGGGATGGGGATGTTCCATATACAGGGCTCTGGGGGGGTCTGGACAGGTATGTTCCCTATACAGGGCTCTGGGGGGGGTCTGGACAGGTATGTTCCCTATACAGGGCTCTGGGGGGGTCTGGACAGGTATGTTCCCTATACAGGGCTCTGGGGGGGTCTGGACAGGTATGTTCCCTATACAGGGCTCTGGGAGGGGTCTGGGATGGGGATGTTCCCTATACAGGGCTCTGGGGGGGTCTGGACAGGTATGTTCCCTATACAGGGCTCTGGGGGGGTCTGGGATGGGGATGTTCCCTAGGCATAACTAGCTCTGGGGTGTCAGTCAGTCTATTTTAGGACATATTGTCCTTTCTCCTGGAGGTCATTCTACCATGTGACTAATGCTTAGCCCCTAGCTGTTAAACCTCTTAATTTAACTACATGTATTTATCATGAGATGACCATGAACAATAACATGAAATGCTGCACACTCCAAGAAAGGTTAGAATCTCATCTTTCTGATAAAAATAGTTATACATTGCTGAGGTGTGGTCACTTTTGAGGACACAAGCTCAAGTACACAGTACAAAAATAAAGACATATATCCTATTCAATAAATGACAGATTTCCTATTCAACAAAACTGTATGAATAAGGCTTGAAATGACTTATAAACTTTCTAAATATAGTATAATCAAATTTTAAAACCACTAACTCTAAGATGTCACCTTCCCTATAACTGTAAAATACATAATTGTATGTTCAGTGTTAGAGTAAATTTGCATATTTTCTAAATGTTTTTGATCAAAACATCTGAACGTCACACTGAGCTCTAGCTCGGCTTCCTGGACTCGTTAGGAACTCACCTTTCATCTCATATTAATAATATTGTCCATCTACGACAAACAGAAAGTGTTTGTTGTTAAAAATCTATGAATTATTTTAGATTAATGGCTATAAATTCAACCTCTGAATGTGCTACAGTGATGAAACCATTCTCTCCTGCTGCACTACGATGTAAGGATTGCAGGCCATTAATCTAAATGTGGCTGTGACATAGGGTTCAGCCAGGAAGTGGTGTAGTGGTCTAAGGCGTGGTGCAGTGGTCGAATCCAGGCTCTGTCGCAGCCGGCCGCGACCGGGAGACCCATGGGGCACAATTGGCCCAGCGTCGTCCAGGGTAGGGGAGGGAATGGCCGGCAGGGATGTAGCTCAGTTGATAGAGCGTGGTGTTTGCAATGCCAGGGTTGTGGGTTCGAATCCCACGGGGGGCCAGTATGAAAAATTAAAAAATAATGTATGCACTCACTAACTGTAAGTCGCTCTGGATAAGAGCGTCTGCTAAATGACTAAAATGTATATGTAAGAGCCAATGAAATGGCAAGAGGGACATCCCAGCTTCAAGTGGTTTCAGATTTCACATCCTACTTCACACAGGCACAAAACATATACTACTGTGTCCGTGGGAACCAGGGCTATCCCTCAATGCAAGCCATTTCCATCCACATTGTCCACAGACATCATAATGTCTCTGCAGGACATCAGTGGAGTGGCGTCTGAACAGGAGGTCCGTGTTACCATGGCAGCACCGAGTGACATCAGATGGTCATCTGGTCCTCCTGCATGCCGACCACACCGCTGAGGGGAACTACAGCTGCAGTGATGACCAGGGATTCCTCATCCAGACAACCCGACTCAGGCTGGGGCGTAAGTCTCCCCTTCCCTCTACCACGCTAGATAGATTCATAGACTCAGGCTGAGACCTAAGTTGTAATATTAATCATTCCTTGGAAAGGATACCGGGGAGAGCTGCAGTCAGGGAACAATAACAACAGTTCCCTTCAGCTCCCAGCACTTCATTCGTCGGACAGGAAATGACAACGTCAGTCCATTCAGCTTCCTGATAAGAGGGGCAAGGCCAGAGACTTGACCACTTGAATAAGACAGAGAGAGGACCAGTAGTATTATTTATACACACATTGAGCTGTGAGGAATCCCATCGTTGTAAACCTTTATGTATTGGGTTGTTGAGTATTTGTAGGTGTATCATCTTCAGAAAGACTGAGTCCCAGTGTGTAGATATTGTGATCATCATTTCTCCTCTCTTCTTCCTCAGATCCCCCCGGGCTGCTCAATGTTTCCTGTCGTGTGTCCAATCACAGCCTGGTATTGTGTTCATGGGTGGAGTCTGTGAAGACCCACCTGCCTGCCCAGTACCACGCCTCCTACAGGTAAGCCACCGTCCTCTCCTTTCCTACCGTACACAGATATAATGGTGTTGATGGTGAAGGACCTCCCTCTCTCCTCTCTCCCCCCCCCCAGGGGTAATAAAAGCCAGGTGAGGATGTGTGTGGTGTCCTCTCCCACCCAGAGACAGTGTACCATCTCAGACCCCACCATGTGGCAGCAATACCATGACATCAACATCACAGAGACCAACCCTCTGGGGTCACATACCACCATCCTCATGGTCAAGTTACACGAGCTCTGTAGGTCACAACCTCATCTGGACACTGTGTCTTTACCTGTCTGTCTTTACCTGTCTGTCTTTACCTGTCTTTACCCGTCTGTCTGTACCTGTCTTTTTCCCGTCTGTCTTTACCTGTCTGTCTTTACCTGTCTGTCTTTACCTGTCTGTACCTGTCTGTCTTTACCTGTCTGTCTTTACCCGTCTGTCTTTACCTGTCTGTACCCGTCTGTCTTTACCTGTCTGTCTTTACCCGTCTGTCTTTACCTGTCTGTACCTGTCTGTACCCGTCTGTCTGTACCTGTCTGTACCTGTCTGTCTTTACCTGTCTGTCTGTACCTGTCTGTCTTTACCTGTCTGTCTTTACCCGTCTGTCTTTACCTGTCTGTCTTTACCCGTCTGTCTTTACCTGTCTGTCTGTACCTGTCTGTCTTTACCCGTCTGTCTTTACCCGTCTGTCTTTACCTGTCTGTCTTTACCTGTCTGTCTTTACCTGTCTGTCTGTACCCGTCTGTCTTTACCTGTCTGTCTTTACCTGTCTGTCTTTACCTGTCTGTCTGTACCTGTCTGTCTTTACCTGTCTGTACCCGTCTGTCTTTACCTGTCTGTACCCGTCTGTACCCGTCTGTCTGTACCTGTCTGTACCTGTCTGTACCTGTCTGTACCTGTCTGTACCCGTCTGTACCCGTCTGTCTTTACCTGTCTGTACCCGCCTGTACCCGTCTGTCTGTACCTGTCTGTACCTGTCTGTCTGTACCTGTCTGCCTGTACCTGTCTGTCTGTACCTGTCTGTCTTTACCTGTCTTGGCTTTACCTGTCTGTATGTATGTTTGTCTGTCTGTCTGTACCCATCTGTCTTGACCTGTCTGTCTTTACCTGTCTATACCTGTCTTTATTTACCTGTCTGTACCTGTGTGTCTTTACCTGTCTGTACCTGTCTGTCTTTACCTGTCTGTACCCGTCTGTCTTTACCTGTCTGTACCCGTGTGTTTTTACCTGTCTAAACCCATCTGTCTTTACCTGTCCGTACCTGTCTGTCTTTACCTGTCTGTACCTGTCTGTCTTTACCTGTCTGTCTGTCTGTATGTCAGTCTGTACCCGTGTGTCTGTAACTGAATGTACCTGTCTCAATCAAATCAATCAAATGTATTTATAAAGCCCTTTTTACATCACCCCTGGGCCAACTACACTCAATCATAGGACCTACTGAAGAGATTAGTCTACAGTAAAGACTTAAAGGCCAAGACCGAGTCTGCGTCTCTCACATGGATAGGCAGACCATTCCATAAAAATGGAGCTCTATAGGAGAAAGCCTCCAGCTGTTTGCTTGGAAATTCTAAGGACAACAATGGGGCCTGCGTCTTGTGACCGTAGCGTACGTGTAGGTATGTACGGCAGGACCAAATCAGAGAGATAGGTAGGAGCAAATCCATGTAATGCTTTGTAGGTTAGCAGTAAAACCTTGAAATCAGCCCTGGCCTTAACAGGAAGCCAGTGTAGAGAGGCTAGCACTGGAGTAATATGATCACATGGTTCTAGTCAAGATTCTAGCAGCCGTGTTTAGCACTAACTGAAGTGTAGTTAGTGCTTTATCCGTGTAGCCGGAGAGTAGAGCATTGCCATAGTATAATCTTGAAGTGACAAAAGCATGGATTAGCTTTTCTGCATAATTTTGCAATGTTACGAAGATGTAAAAAGGCTGCTCTTGAAATATTTTTGATATGTTCGTCAAAAGAGAGATCAAGGTCCAGAGTAACATCGAGGTCCCTCACGGTTTCATTTGAGACGACTGTACAACCATCGAGATTCATTGTCAGATCCGACAGCAGATGTCTTTGTTTCTTGGGACCTAGAACTAGGATCTCTGTTTTGTCCGAGTATAAAAGTAACACATTTTCCGCCATCCACTTCCTGATGTCTGAAACACGCCTGGTGGGCAATTCTGGGGCTTCACCATGTTTCGTCAAAATGTACAGCTGTGTGTCGTCCGCATAGCAGCAAAAGTTGACATTGTGTTTCCGAATGACGTCACCAAGAGGTAGCATATATAGTGAAAACAATAGTGGTCCTAGAATGGAACCTTGATTAACACTGAAACTTACCATTGTAACTGCCTGTACCTGCCTGTACCTGTCTGTACCCATCTGTACCCGTCTGTACCCGTCTGTCTCGCTGTATGTACAGTGGTACAAAAAGTATTTAGTCAGCCACCAATTGTGCAAGTTCTCCCACTTAAAAAGATGAGAGAGGCCTGTAATTTTCATCATAGGTACACGTCAACTATGACAGACAAATTGAGGAAAAAAAATCCAGAAAATCACATTGTAGGATTTTTTATGAATTTATTTGCAAATTATGGTGGAAAATAAGTATTTGGTCACCTACAAACAAGCAAGATTTCTGGCTCTCACAGACCTGTAACTTCTTCTTTAAGAGGCTCCTCTGTCCTCCACTCGTTACCTGTATTAATGGCACCTGTTTGAACTTGTTATCAGTATAAAAGACACCTGTCCACAACCTCAAACAGTCACACTCCAAACTCCACTATGGCCAAGACCAAAGAGCTGTCAAAGGACACCAGCAACAAAATTGTAGACCTGCACCAGGCTGGGAAGACTGAATCTGCAATAGGTAAGCAGCTTGGTTTGAAGAAATCAACTGTGGGAGCAATTATTAGGAAATGGAAGATATACAAGACCACTGATAATCTCCCTCGATCTGGGGCTCTACGCAAGATCTCACCCCGTGGGGTCAAAATGATCACAAGAACGGTGAGCAAAAATCCCAGAACCACACGGGGGGACCTAGTGAATGACCTGCAGAGAGCTGGGACCAAAGTAACAAAGCCTACCATCAGTAACACACTACGCCGCCAGGGACTCAAACCCTGCAGTGCAAGACGTGTCCCCCTGCTTAAGCCAGTACATGTCCAGGCCCGTCTGAAGTTTGCTAGAGTGCATTTGGATGATCCAGAAGAGGATTGGGAGAATGTCATATGGTCAGATGAAACCAAAATATAACTTTTTGGTAAAAAACTCAACTCGTCGTGTTTGGAGGACAAAGAATGCTGAGTTGCATCCAAAGAACACCGTACCTACTGTGAAGCATGGGGGTGGAAACATCATGCTTTGGGGCTGTTTTTCTGCAAAGGGACCAGGACGACTGATCCGTGTAAAGGAAAGAATGAATGGGGCCATGTATCGTGAGATTTTGAGTGAAAACCTCCTTCCATCAGCAAGGGCATTGAAGATGAAACATGGCTGGGTCTTTCAGCATGACAATGATCCCAAACACACCGCCCGGGCAACGAAGGAGTGGCTTCGTAAGAAGCATTTCAAGGTCCTGGAGTGGCCTAGCCAGTCTCCAGATCTCAACCCCATAGAAAATCTTCGGAGGGAGTTGAAAGTCTGTGTTTCCCAGCGACAGCCCCAAAACATCACTGCTCTAGAGGAGATCTGCATGGAGGAATGGGCCAAAATACCAGCAACAGTGTGTGAAAACCTTGTGAAGACTTACAGAAAATGTTTGACCTGTGTCATTGCCAACAAAGGGTATATAACAAAGTATTGAGAAACTTTTGTTATTGACCAAATACTTATTTTCCACCATAATTTGCAAATAAATTCATTAAAAATCCTACAATGTGATTTTCTGGATTTTCTTTTCTCATTTTGTCTGTCATAGTTGACGTGTACCTATGATGAAAATTACAGGCCTCTCTCATCTTTTTAAGTGGGAGAACTTGCACAACTGGTGGCTGACTAAATACTTTTTTTCCCCACTGTACCTGTATGTACCTGCCTGTACCTGTCTGTCTCGCTGTCTGTACCTGTCTGTACCTGTCTGTACCTGTCTGTACCCGTCTGTACCTGTCTGTCTCGCTGTCTGTACCTGTCTGTACCTGTCTGTACATAGTCGCTTTGGATAAAAGCGTCTGCTAAATGGCATATTATTATTATTATTATTACATGTCTGTCTCGCTGTATGTACCTGTCTGTACCTGTCTGTACCTGTATGTACCTGTCTCTACCTGTCTGTACCTGTCTGTACCCGTCTGTACCTGTCTGTACATGTCTGTACCTGTCTGTACCTGTCTGTACCTGTCTGTCCTTTTCAATCTTCACATTGTTAGTTGTTGATTCCTAACTCCCCTCTCTCTCTGTCTGTGTGTACCAGTGTGTGTGTACCAGTGTGTGTGTACCAGTGTGTGTGTACCAGTGTGTGTGTACCAGTGTGTGTGTACCAGTGTGTGTGTACCAGTGTGTGTGTACCAGTGTTGGTTGCATGGTTCCTCACCCCCTCTCTGTGTGTCTACAGTGCAGCCAGATCCCCCAGAGGCAGTAACAGCAGTGGGGGTGGTAGGATACCCCATGGTTCTCCGGGTGTACTGGAGGTACCCTGCCTCCTGGCTCCACGACGCTGTGCCCTTCCCCCTCGTCTTCCAGCTCCGATACCGTCCTGTAGGATCCAGCGTCTGGTCAACCGTCAGTTCCTCTATTATCATACTGGAGATTATATTATATTAGTCAGTTCCTATACTATCCTACCCACTAATTATATTATATTAGTCAGTTCCTATACTATCCCCCTATATCTCTCCCCTCCCCCCTCCCCTATATTCTCCTATCCTCCCCTCTCCCTAAAATATCTCATCTCCCCCTCCCTCCCCCTATATCTCTCCCCTCCCTCCCCCTATATCTCTCCCCCCTCCCCCTATATCTCTCCCCTCCCTCCCCCTATATCTCTCCCCTCCCTCCCCCTATATTTCTCCCCTCTCTCCCCTCCCTCCCCCTATATCTCTCCCCTCCCTCCCCCTATAATCTCTCCCCTCCCTCCCCCCTATATCCCTCCCCCTCCCTCCCCTAATATTTCCCTTCTCCCCTCCCTCCCCCTATATCTCTCCCCCTCCCCCTATTCCTTTCCTTAATATCTTTATCTCCCCCCTCCCCCTTTCCCTCCCTCTATATCGATCTCTCTCTTTTCTCTCCTCTCCTTCTCTTCCCCCTCCAGGTGGAGTCTAAGGCCAGCCCCCTGTTGATAACCGACGCCCTAGCAGGCCACGCCCACCAGCTGCAGGTGAGAGCCCAGGACGAGATCAACCCAGACAGCCAGTGGAGCGACTGGAGCCCCCTGCTGCAGGGCTGTCCATGGAGCGGTGAGAACACTACTGTGTCCCAAATGGCCCCCTATTGCCTATTCAGTGCACTACTTTTGACCAGGGCCTTCCCAGCTAACCAGGAACATTCCCAGAACATTAGCTAAGACCCCCATTAAGTGCTAGTTAGGGTTTTATCTAACGTTACAATGGAAACATCCCAAAAAACATTCAAATAATGTTTTTGATAGCAAATGTTGATTATTTTTGTTTTTTTAATGTTTTAAATGAAATATCCTTGGAATGTTCTCCTAATATTCACCAAAATGTTCCCAGCAAACCAAAATTGGTTCTATGAAAGTTTCCAGAACATTTGTTAGGTTGTGGCAAATGTTCTCATAACACAAAAACTGTCCGGTCATGCTGATGATTATACAATGTTTGTATAAAACATTCACCTGATGTTGCAACAACGTTCCCAGAAACACATTTAGTCTGTTATTTAAAGGTTCCCAGAATGTTTCATTAGGTTGTGGGAACAGTCTGGTGGGAACATTGTGGGGACATCACAAAAGATGGGAACTGTCCAGTTGTGCGGATGATTATAAAATGTTTATTTTAGGGTGCAAAAAACATTTACCTGATGTTACAAGAACGTTCTTAGAACAATTTTTTAAATGATTTTTAAAAGTTCCTAAAACATTTATTTTGGATGTGGGAACATGACAAGAGGTTCCCACAACACTACAACTGTCCAGATGTGCTGACATTCCTTTGATGTTGTAAGAATGTTGACAGAACACCTGGTCTAAGTTCTTTAACACTAGAACCGTCTGGCCTTTCAGTCTATAAGTACCCGCTAGAGAACGTTGAGGACGTTGCAGGGCTTATCCTTTAGCAAACGCATCAGGTGCATATCAACCCGCAAGGTGTGCAAACATAAGCACCAACGCATGATAAATAGTGCATAAACAATTATAAAGGATTAATTGCATGAAGAAATATTAGTGGAAATATATCCATTAAAAAATATAACAACAATAGTTATTTGTTTAGATAGAGGATATGTTTGGTGTAATTCTACAAAGGCCTAGTGAAAAACGTAGGCCTAAAGCCCATTGGACACTTCCAGCCGATGACGCATCAACATTCTAACAGTCTAATAAATACATTTCATATACTGTATTATATCGGAAGAACAATCATTTGGTTGTTTATGAAGGTCTTACGTAGCATTAGAATACTAAAAAAAATATTATTTCAAAGAACATAATAACATTTTCATTAGTTTATGTTACTCAAGGCTATAAGTAAAAACTAAAATCACTAGTTCAAGAAGAAGTCCATCATACACTGAACAAAAATACAAACACAACATGCATGTGACGAGGTGTGAATGACGGAGTCAGGCGCAGGAGGTAAAACACAGAAATCCAGAGTTTATTCAGTGTACATGAATAAAGCACAGCAAGCGTCAAAACGAAACTAGCACAAGGGGAAAATCCACCTTGGCTACATACAAGGAAAGAGTAGCTCAACCGAGTTACTCACTCTCACAATGAACAATCACTCACAAAGGACAAGGGGGGCAGAGGGAACACTTATACACAGACTAATGAGGGAATGACTACCAGGTGTGTGTGATTGACAAGACAAGACAAATGGAGTGATGATATATGGAGCGGTAGTGGCTAGTAAGCCGGTGACGACGAACGCCGAAACCTGCCCGAGCAAGGAGGAGGGGCAGCCTCGGCTGAATTCGTGACAATGCAACAATTTAAAAGATTTTACTGAGTTACAGTTCATATAAGGAAATCAGTCAATTGAAATAAATTGATTAGGCCCTAATCTATGGATTTCACGTCTGGGAATACAAGAGGTAGGGGTGTGGATAAAAAACACCCGCAATAATATCTGCTAAACGTGTATGCGACCAATCAAATGTGGTTTGATCTGGTGTGACCACCATTTTCCTCATGCAACGCGACACATCTCCTTCACATAGAGTTGATCAGGCTGTTGATTGTGGCCTGTGAAAAGTTGTCCCACTCCTCTTCAATGGCTGTGCGAAGTTGCTGGATATTGGCGGGAACTGGAACACGCTGTCGTACACGTCGATCCAGAGCATCCCAAACAGGCTCAATGGGTGACATGTCTGGTCAGTATGCAGGCCATTGAAAAACTGGGACATTTTCAGCTTCCAGGAATTGTGTACAGATCCTTGCGATATGGGGCCGTGCATAATCATGCTCAAATATGAGGTGATGGCGGTGGATGAATGGCACGAACAATGGGCCTCAGGATCTCGTGACGGTATCATAAGGTGGCTTATGATAGAGAAATTAACATGACATTCTCTGGCAACAGTTCTGGTGGATATTCCTGCAGTCAGCATGCCAATTGCACAGTCCCTCAAAATTGAGACATCTGTGGCATTGTGTTGTGTGACAAAACTGCACATTTTAGAGTGACCTTTTATTGTCCCCAGCACAAGGTGCACCTGTGTACTGATCATGCTGTTTAATCAGCTTCTTGATATGCCACACCTGTCAGGTGGATGGATTATCTTGGTAAAGGAGAAATGCTCACTAACAGGGATGTAAATATATTTGTGCACAACATTTGAGAGAAATAAGCTTTTTGTGCGTATGGGACGTTTCTGGGATCTTTTATTTCAGCTCATGAAACATGGGACCAACACTTTACATGTTGTGTTTATATTTTTGTTCAGTGTTATTTTGTTTTGGCAGGTCTAAAGAAACATTGTGGAATTTAAAGGCTATTCTACCAAATACTAATTGAGTGTATGTAAACTTCTGACCCACTGGGAATGTGATGAAAGAAATAAAAGCTGAAATAAATCATTCTCTCTACTATTATTCTGACATTTCACATTCTTAAAATAAAGTGGTGATCCTAACTGATCTAAGACCGGGAATTTTTACTAGGATTAAATGTCAGGAATTGTGAAAAACTGAGTTTAAATGTATGTGGCTAAGGTGAATGTAAACTTCCGACTTCAACTGTATGTGTCCATACAATGTTGTTCTGCACTAAGATGACTGTTGACTGATGTTACAGAATCATACCCTGATTTATCCTGACTTTCTGGCAATTGTGTAATTCATAAACAACTTATCTATTGAAATGCAAGGAAGACCAATTACAGAAATTATTACTATACCAAAACATAAAAAATATAACAATATTTAACTCAAGTCAACCTTACCATCATGATTGTAATACAGTCGTCAGTAGTGTTCACATTAACCTACTGGATCTCCTTAGCACAAACAAGAATATGAAACAGACAGACTGACTACAGGTGCAAAGACCATCCACACCCACACCCTGCTAGTAACAGTCTGACTGCAGGTGTAAAGTCCATCCACACACCCTCCTAGCAACAGACTGACTGCAGGTGGAAAGACAGCTAAGGTCAGCTAACAGGATAGCCTCTTCGCTCCGGGAGCTAGCTAGCTATCAATGTTCAAACGTTGCCTAACCTAGCTAGATATCTAGCTAATGTAGCTAGCGAACATTAGCTAGCTAGGTGGCTAGTTAGTACCTATGTTCAACGTTGATAGACACAAACAGAACGATGTATAGAATGATTGCAGAAAAAGGCACACAAGGAAACATTTAACCAAGGTAACGTTAGCTAGCAAGCTAACGTTAGCTAGCTAAAGTTAACTACGTCACTCCCCAGCAACAGTTTCAGCAAACAAAGCAACAACTTTTACTTCAAATAATTATTACCTTAAAAACCTCTTAAGGATTGGACCCTTTTTGTAAAAAATTTACCTAAAATGACATACCCAAATCTAACTGCCTGTAGCTCTGGACTTGAAGCAAAGATATGCATATTTTTTATATCCTTTGAAAGGAAACACTTTGAAGTTTGTTGACATGTGAAATTAATGTAGGAGACTATAACACATTAGATCTAGTAAAAGATAATACAAACATCATCTTTGAAATGCAAGAGAAAGGCCAGACAGTGATGTAGGATTCTAGATGTAATTTAGATGTTGTCCACCAGATGGCAGCAGTGTGTGTGCGCAAAGTTTCAGACTGATCCAGTGAAGAATTACATCACTACACAATATTTTGTTTCAAGTCTGCCAGGAGTTTTTACCAAATGTGCCGAATTGGTTTTCAAATACATAACTATAGAGAACATACAAAAATGCTATGGTAATACAAAATGTAAGTTTGCACACTCCCAGGAATGTCATAAATGATGGATCATTAGCTTCCCTATAGAAAAGACACTAACCTTCACACATCTAGATGGCCGGGCGGGGTGGGTATGGAGTCAGAGGTCAAACTGTAGAACCCAGTTCCTACATTTGAATATAAAAATTGATGACAAATCAGAGCAAGATTACTGAAAGTAAGTACATTATTTACCTTCAGAGGTGAATGTACCAAACCAGTTGCCGTGATAAAAGTGTTTTGTTGTTGTGCACTATCCTCAAACAATAGCATGGTATTTTTTAGCTGTAATAGCTACTGTAAATTGGACACTGCAGTTAGATTAACAATAATTTAAGCTTTCTGCCCGTATAAGACATGTCTATGCTCCGGAAAGTCGGCTGTTGTTTACAACACCATTCTAGTCACATATCGCATATTGAGCAACAACCGTCCCGTATAAGGGTCACCGATCCCGTAGAGGTTAAACAGAGACTGTCCCTAAAAAGGAACAAATCCCTTTGAAGACAGCCTGTGGCATCGATATGAGTCAGAAACATTTATTCTAGTGTGAAAATTGACTACAAAAGTGTAAACAGGATAATGTTGGTCATCAAGTCAGTCTCATCTAAAACGGAGTTTGGAACCTCAGTGTGTCACAACAAGTAAATTAAGGTTGGGTTTGGATTACAAATATGTCAACAAATCACGTCCCCTTTCGTCAAGCTCCACGTGCAAATCGCCCCTCTGCCCACTTCGCTTCCCTTCATTGAATGGGGCTTGTTGTTTCGTCGCCCCCAAACGCGTTCAAAGGATCACGGGCCGTATACGGATTGACCATGCCTCCGCAGCCAAAGTTCTATGGTTTGCATACCCTGCCGAAGGACCGTAGTATTCGGTCGGAATAGTTGTTGTTCCCAAGTATTCACCAGTATTGCTAGCTTGGTGTGCAACGACCGGTAGTGGTGAGTATAACCAGAGATACTGGAATATAATGACCTCTCTGGTATAACTTAGCTTATGACGTTATATAACGTTATTGCTCCTTATGTAGGTACCCTGTACCTATCTTTTGATAAAACGAGGCAGGCTAGATAACATTTTATATAGACTGAAAGCCCCCCTCAATACCACAGCTATCCCCTGGTGGCGCATAGAGTTAAAGATCTGGCTGCATACGAAGTGTAAAACATTTGACCAACTGCCTCGATTCGGACTTATGTAGCAACATTTGGAAAATGTGTTTTTTACATTGAAGAAAATTAGAGACTCAGAGCTAGAAAATTCATAAATCATACACTGCAGTTGAGGAACAGTGGGAAATTAATTCTGCTTTGAAAGTTGATAAACTTGTAACCCCACAATTTGAGAAAATGGCCCATGAATGTTTTGGTACACCTACTGGAGAGCTCTTCTTTGTCTACACCTATTCAGCATCGTTCCCACCCTCTTAAGCCTTAGCCCCACCCATCTCTTTAAGGATTCACATGTGAGACCATGTGGTAAACACAAGCTATATCAAATAAAATCTAAGTTTATTTGTCACATGCACAGAATACAGAAGGTGTAAACGGTACAGTGACAATACTTGCATACTTGCATAGTAGCAATATCAAACACAGAAAGTGTCCAAATATTAGGTAACGCTTACCCTACACACTTGTCTGCTTGTCTGCTTGTCTGCTTGTCTGCTTTGATGACTTCTGATTGGCCAACAACAATCTCCACGCTCGACTCTGGTGAAAAGCAAAGAGTAGCAGAATAAATTATACAATCTCTCTCTCTCTATATATATATATATACTGCACAGATCTGTATCGGTCCTTCTGGACAAGCCAGTTAAAATGACACATACCCAAGACCCGTGACAATCATATCAGATCTGACCCGGACCCGTGACATTATTTAGAATTCCGCTCGGGTCCTGGATCGGGTCTCGGGTACTCGGCTACAGGTGTATCCGTGATGACCTCTAGTTCCAATCTTGTTTCTTGTACTTTAAGGAACTAGAACTGTGCATGCTTAGAAATGTTGTAGTAATATTAGATAAAACTTAAATATAAAGTTTATTAATGTTCTCTTGAAATGTTCTGAGGACCTCCAAGACAAGGTCAAATGTATATTGTGTGAACATCAATGGAATATTATGTTAAACCTTAAACAAATATGCTTTGAACGTCATAAAAACTGACTTATTTGGAAAATGAGGAACATTGTGCAACATTGTTCGAATGTTCTGTGCCACCTCTTAAGTACAATATGTGAATATCACAATAATATTCTTGCAACATCCCAGACAACTCCCATAACTTAATTAAGTGTAAAATCAAATCAAATGTTATTTGTCACATGTGCCGAATACAACAGGTGTAGATTTTACCATGAAAGTCTGACTTACGAGCCCTTTCCCAACAATGCAGAGTTAAAAACTAGCCTTTTTACACTGGAATGTGAGATGTAATCCACACCTCGATTAGGCTGATAGAAATCCTCATTATTGAGTTTAATGATTTTCAATTTGAGCGTAGTTATTTCTATATAGCCTACACTTTCTCGTCTAATACGAGTGGTGTGGGTGTGGCTTCGTGACAATGATCAAGAGCAGCTCCAATGCAGTTCCACCTCCGACATCGCCAATACATCAGCTATACGGGTGTCGGCTGGCGCCACTTAACACTTGATCTGATTGAATCTAGGCCTTAAACATTGTATGAATGTCATCACAACTAAGCATATTTTGTGTTTTGGGAACCTATCTCTTGTAATGTACCCACACATTTACATTTACGTAATTTAGCCGACGCTCTTAAGTCGCTCTCTTATCCAGAGCGACTTACAAATTGGTGCATTCACCTTATAGCCAGTGGGATAACCACTTTACAATATGTTTATTTTTTGTTGTTGGGGGGGTGGGGTAAGGGGGGGTAGAAGGATTACTTTATCATATCCCAGGTATTCCTTAAAGAGGTGGGGTTTCAAGTGTCTCCGGAAGGTGGTGAGTGACTCTGTCCTGGCATCGTGAGGGAGCTTGTTCCACCATTGGGGTGCCAGAGCAGCGAACAGTTTTGACTGGGCAGAGCGGGAACTGTGCTTCCGCAGAGGCAGTGGTGTAAGGCACTGCATCGCAGTGCTAGCTGTGCCACTAGAGATCCTGGTTCAATCCTGGTTCGAATCCAGGCTCTGTCGTAGCCGGCCGCGACCAGGAGACCAATGGGGCGGCGCACAATTGGCCCAGCGTCGTCCAGGGTAGGGGAGGGAATGGCCGGCAGGGATGTAGCTCAGTTGGTAGAGCATGGCGTTTTCAATGCCAGGGTTGTGGGATCGATTCCCACGGGGGGCCAGTATGAAAAATAAAATAAAAAATAATGTATGCACTCACTAACTGTAAGTCGCTCTGGATAAGAGCGTCTGCTAAATGTCTAAAATGTAAAAAATGTTCTGGGAACCTTTAAAGAACTATTCTCTCAACATTCTTGCAACATCAAAGGAATATTTTATGCATCCTGAAACAAACATTATCTGAACGCAGCACAACTAGACCGTTTTAGTGTTTTGGGAACCTATCTCATATCCCCATAATGTTCCCGCAACCTAAATAAATGTTTTAGGAATATTTAAAGAACATAAAACATGTGTTCTGGGAACGTTCTTGTAACATCAGGTGAATGTTTTTTGCACCCTAAAATAAACATGGTATAATCATCCATACAACTGGACAATTCATCTTTTGTGAAGTCCCCACAATGTTCCCACCAGACTGTTCCCACAACCTAATGAAACATTCTGAGAACCTTTAAAGAACAGACTAAATGTGTTTCTGGGAACGTTGTTGCAACATCAGGTGAATGTTTTATGCAAACATTGTATAATCATCAGCACGACTGGACAGTTTTTGTGTTATGAGAACATTTGCCGCAACCTAACAAATGTTCTGGGAACTACCACAGAAGCAGTGTTGGTTTGCTGGGGCTGCATGGAGGGTACATTGTGAACTGTCTACAACTGGACCTTTATTAGCACAGTGTTTGAATAGACTTTACTTTCTCACTACAGTTACTTGGTCGGAGGTGTGGTTAACAGGTCTTGTGTGTCTTTGTGAATCCCTACAGGTGGCGCTGCCGAGCCTACTGAAGAAACGTTTCCTGTCGACTACAATGACTCAGACACAGACCCCTCTACAGCTGACACCAAGTCAGAGAGTAAGTTAGCCTTGTCTTAGCCAGAACGTTCCATAGAGCAGGAGTCTGTCTCCTGTTTCTGTAGCAGTTAGCCTTGTCTTAGCCAGAACGTTCCATAGAGCAGGAGTCTGTCTCCTGTTTCTGTAGCAGTTAGCCTTGTCTTAGCCAGAACGTTCCATAGAGCAGGAGTCTGTCTCCTGTTTCTGTAGCAGTTAGCCTTGTCTTAGCCAGAACGTTCCATAGAGCAGGAGTCTGTCTCCTGTTTCTGTAGCAGTTAGCCTTGTCTTAGCCAGAACGTTCCATAGAGCAGGAGTCTGTCTCCTGTTTCTGTAGCAGTTAGCCTTGTCTTAGCCAGAACGTTCCATAGAGCAGGAGTCTGTCTCCTGTTTCTGTAGCAGTTAGCCTTGTCTTAGCCAGAACGTTCCATAGGGTAGGAGTCTGTCTCCTGTTTCTGTAGCAGTTAGCCTTGTCTTAGCCAGAACGTTCCATAGAGGCAGGAGTCTGTCTCCTGTTTCTGTAGCAGTTAGCCTTGTCTTAGCCAGAACGTTCCATAGAGCAGGAGTCTGTCTCCTGTTTCTGTAGCAGTTAGCCTTGTCTTAGCCAGAACGTTCCATAGAGCAGGAGTCTGTCTCCTGTTTCTGTAGCAGTTAGCCTTGTCTTAGCCAGAACGTTCCATAGGGCAGGAGTCTGTCTCCTGTTTCTGTAGCAGTTAGCCTGTCTTAGCCAGAAGTTCCATAGAGCAGGAGTCTATCTCCTGTTTCTGTAGCAGTTAGCCTTGTCTTAGCCAGAACGTTCCATAGGGCAGGAGTCTGTCTCCTGTTTCTGTAGCAGTTAGCCTTGTCTTAGCCAGAACGTTCCATAGGGCAGGAGTCTGTCTCCTGTTTCTGTAGCAGTTAGCCTTGTCTTAGCCAGAACGTTCCATAGGGCAGGAGTCTGTCTCCTGTTTCTGTAGCAGTTAGCCTTGTCTTAGCCAGAACGTTCCATAGAGCAGGAGTCTGTCTCCTGTTTCTGTAGCAGTTAGCCTTGTCTTAGCCAGAACGTTCCATAGAGCAGGAGTCTGTCTCCTGTTTTCTGTAGCAGTTAGCCTTGTCTTAGCCAGAACGTTCCATAGAGCAGGAGTCTGTCTCCTGTTTCTGTAGCAGTTAGCCTTGTCTTAGCCAGAACGTTCCATAGAGCAGGAGTCTGTCTCCTGTTTCTGTAGCAGTTAGCCTTGTCTTAGCCAGAACGTTCCATAGAGCAGGAGTCTATCTCCTGTTTCTGTAGCAGTTAGCCTTGTCTTAGCCAGAACGTTCCATAGAGCAGGAGTCTGTCTCCTGTTTCTGTAGCAGTTAGCCTTGTCTTAGCCAGAACGTTCCATAGAGCAGGAGTCTGTCTCCTGTTTCTGTAGCAGTTAGCCTTGTCTTAGCCAGAACGTTCCATAGGGCAGGAGTCTATCTCCTGTTTCTGTAGCAGTTAGCCTTGTCTTAGCCAGAACGTTCCATAGAGCAGGAGTCTGTCTCCTGTTTCTGTAGCAGTTAGCCTTGTCTTAGCCAGAACGTTCCATAGGGCAGGAGTCTGTCTCCTGTTTCTGTAGCAGTTAGCCTTGTCTTAGCCAGAACGTTCCATAGAGCAGGAGTCTGTCTCCTGTTTCTGTAGCAGTTAGCCTTGTCTTAGCCAGAACGTTCCATAGGGCAGGAGTCTGTCTCCTGTTTCTGTAGCAGTTAGCCTTGTCTTAGCCAGAACGTTCCATAGGGCAGGAGTCTGTCTCCTGTTTCTGTAGCAGTTAGCCTTGTCTTAGCCAGAACGTTCCATAGAGCAGGAGTCTGTCTCCTGTTTCTGTAGCAGTTAGCCTTGTCTTAGCCAGAACGTTCCATAGGGCAGGAGTCTGTCTCCTGTTTCTGTAGCAGTTAGCCTTGTCTTAGCCAGAACGTTCCATAGAGCAGGAGTCTGTCTCCTGTTTCTGTAGCAGTTAGCCTTGTCTTAGCCAGAACGTTCCATAGGGCAGGAGTCTGTCTCCTGTTTCTGTAGCAGTTAGCCTTGTCTTAGCCAGAACGTTCCATAGAGCAGGAGTCTGTCTCCTGTTTCTGTAGCAGTTAGCCTTGTCTTAGCCAGAACGTTCCATAGGGCAGGAGTCTGTCTCCTGTTTCTGTAGCAGTTAGCCTTGTCTTAGCCAGAACGTTCCATAGAGCAGGAGTCTGTCTCCTGTTTCTGTAGCAGTTAGCCTTGTCTTAGCCAGAACGTTCCATAGGGCAGGAGTCTGTCTCCTGTTTCTGTAGCAGTTAGCCTTGTCTTAGCCAGAACGTTCCATAGGGCAGGAGTCTGTCTCCTGTTTCTGTAGCAGTTAGCCTTGTCTTAGTCAGAACGTTCCATAGGGCAGGAGTCTGTCTCCTGTTTCTGTAGCAGTTAGCCTTGTCTTAGCCAGAACGTTCCATAGGGCAGGAGTCTGTCTCCTGTTTCTGTAGCAGTTAGCCTTGTCTTAGCCAGAACGTTCCATAGGGCAGGAGTCTATCTCCTGTTTCTGTAGCAGTTAGCCTTGTCTTAGCCAGAACGTTCCATAGAGCAGGAGTCTGTCTCCTGTTTCTGTAGCAGTTAGCCTTGTCTTAGCCAGAACGTTCCATAGGGCAGGAGTCTGTCTCCTGTTTCTGTAGCAGTTAGCCTTGTCTTAGCCAGAACGTTCCATAGAGCAGGAGTCTGTCTCCTGTTTCTGTAGCAGTTAGCCTTGTCTTAGCCAGAACGTTCCATAGGGCAGGAGTCTGTCTCCTGTTTCTGTAGCAGTTAGCCTTGTCTTAGCCAGAACGTTCCATAGAGCAGGAGTCTGTCTCCTGTTTCTGTAGCAGTTAGCCTTGTCTTAGCCAGAACGTTCCATAGGGCAGGAGTCTGTCTCCTGTTTCTGTAGCAGTTAGCCTTGTCTTAGCCAGAACGTTCCATAGGGCAGGAGTCTATCTCCTGTTTCTGTAGCAGTTAGCCTTGTCTTAGCCAGAACGTCCCATAGGGCAGGAGTCTGTCTCCTGTTTCTGTAGCAGTTAGCCTTGTCTTAGCCAGAACGTTCCATAGAGCAGGAGTCTGTCTCCTGTTTCTGTAGCAGTTAGCCTTGTCTTAGCCAGAACGTTCCATAGAGCAGGAGTCTGTCTCCTGTTTCTGTAGCAGTTAGCCTTGTCTTAGCCAGAACGTTCCATAGGGCAGGAGTCTGTCTCCTGTTTCTGTAGCAGTTAGCCTTGTCTTAGCCAGAACGTTCCATAGAGCAGGAGTCTGTCTCCTGTTTCTGTAGCAGTTAGCCTTGTCTTAGCCAGAACGTTCCATAGAGCAGGAGTCTGTCTCCTGTTTCTGTAGCAGTTAGCCTTGTCTTAGCCAGAACGTCCCATAGAGCAGGAGTCTGTCTCCTGTTTCTGTAGCAGTTAGCCTTGTCTTAGCCAGAACGTTCCATTGAGCAGGAGTCTGTCTCCTGTTTCTGTAGCAGTTAGCCTTGTCTTAGCCAGAACGTTCCATAGGGCAGGAGTCTGTCTCCTGTTTCTGTAGCAGTTAGCCTTGTCTTAGCCAGAACGTTCCATTGAGCAGGAGTCTGTCTCCTGTTTCTGTAGCAGTTAGCCTTGTCTTAGCCAGAACGTTCCATAGAGCAGGAGTCTGTCTCCTGTTTCTGTAGCAGTTAGCCTTGTCTTAGCCTCGTTCCATAGGGCAGGAGTCTGTCTCCTGTTTCTGTAGCAGTTAGCCTTGTCTTAGCCAGAACGTTCCATAGAGCAGGAGTCTGTCTCCTGTTTCTGTAGCAGTTAGCCTTGTCTTAGCCAGAACGTCCCATAGAGCAGGAGTCTGTCTCCTGTTTCTGTAGCAGTTAGCCTTGTCTTAGCCAGAACGTTCCATAGAGCAGGAGTCTGTCTCCTGTTTCTGTAGCAGTTAGCCTTGTCTTAGCCAGAACGTCCCATAGAGCAGGAGTCTATCACCTGTTTCTGTTGCATGAGGCAGCTTGAAGTACAATGTTGCTCTTTGAAAAGTGAAATCTCTTTCTGACTGCTGGATTATCTTTCTGTTTTCCATGACAGAGAGTGCTGAGTTGGCAGAGTAGGGAAGAATGAGAGAGAGAGAGAGAGAGGAGAGAGAGAGGATGACTGGAGCTTTAATTAAATGTTTAGTATCAATCTCTTTGAGCTCTCTGCTGTCCTGCCAGATTTTTTTATCTGCTGTTGCCAGATGTCCTCTATCTTGTGGAAATAGTTTTTTTATGTTATTGCATCACACGAACATTGTACAGAACAATATACAGCTATGGAAATACAGGGTTCAACTTACAAAGGGAAGTGACTCTCCTAATCACTCTGACGTCATTAGACTGTGCAGCTGAACACTGTATGCTGGAAACACTCAGTTTGTTATTTTTGACTTAAACATAACCCATATTCGTTAAATATAAATACCGAACTTGTTTTTGCGTGGATTCTGCAACGCAGTTAGCTTTTAACAGCTGGGACCGCTATTTCTTGTCCCGGAATCCCGCTTAACAGACAGGTTGAAGCCTGCTTGACAGAGACGCTAAGCTGCTAGCCATCAAGCTAACGAAGTAGTGGGCAGATTTCCTCTTCCTTCTCGCCAGCCGTGATTTTGGGCAGCTCCATGGTAAGAAATGTGACCGTTCCTGGTGCAAAAACAATTTCCTATCCAGGAGCTTGAGTAAATGACATTACTAAGCTGCTCCCAAATGTACTACATCAGGACATGGAAATCGATTCTATCGTAGTCCATGTGGGTTTTAATGACATTATGAAGGGCAGCTATGAACAGTTGAAACTGGATTTTAAAGAGCTTTACTGGTTCAAATAGCCGACCAATCAGCCTGTTACCAACCCTTAGTAAACCTTTGGAAAAAATTGTGTTTGACCAGATACAATTCTATTTTATAGTAAACAAATTGACAACAGACTTTCAGCATGCTTGTAGGGAAGGACATTCAACAAGCACAGCACTTACACAAATGACTGATGATTGGCTGTGAGATTGTGGGGGCTGTTTTGTTAGACTTTAGTGCGGCTTTTGACATTATCGATTATATTCTGCTGTTGGGAAAACTTATGTGTTATGGCTTTACACCCCCTGCTATATTGTGGATAAAGAGTTACCTGTCTAACAGAACACAGAGGGTGTTCTTTAATGGAAGCCTCTCCAACATAATCCAGGTAGAATCAGGAATTCCCCAGAGCAGCTGTCTAGGCCCCTTGCTTTTTTCAATCTTTACTAACGACATGCCACTGGCTTTGAGTAAAGCCACTGTGTCTATGTATGCGGATGATTCAACACTATACACTATAAACACTAAAAAAATTGTCAAAGACTCCAGCCACCCTAGTCATAGACTTTTCTCTCTGCTACCGCACGGCAAGCGTATGTGGGAACTCCTTCAAGACGGTTGGAAAAGTATTCCTCATGAAGCTGGTTGAGAGAATGCCAAGAGTGTTCAAAGCTGTCATCAAGGCAAAGGGTGGTTACTTTGAAGAATCTCAAATATAAAATACATTTTGATTAGTTTAAGACTTTTTTGGTTACTACATGATTCCATATGTGTTATTTCATAGTTTTGATGTCTTCACTATTATTCTACAATGTAGAAAATAGTAAAAATAAAGAAAAACCCTGGAATGAGTAGGTGTGTCCAAACTTTTGACTGGTACTGTACATCAGTCTCTCTATACATCAGTCTTCACACCCAAGGTGCTTAAGAAAATAATATACAAATAATAATCATAATAAAAACAAAAACACAGAACATTTTACACCGCAGACAAAAATCTAAGCTATACAAGTGTTGTCTGATCCAGTGGACAGGACAACAGAATTAACATACATTCCATAACTGTTCTCTCTCTTCTGTTCTCTCTCTAGACCCCGAGGATGATGGTGGTAGTCTGTTGATTCTACTGGCCCTGTTCACTGGCATCATCCTGGCCCTGGCGTCCTCTCTGTTGGTCCTCATGTGGTGAGATAATATACCATTTATCTGGCCCTGGCCTCCTCTCTATCGGTCCTCATATAATAATGATAATGATGATAATGATAATACCTATTTTCCTAGTATGTCGAAATCAGACACACTCCAATACACAGTTTCTATAGCAAGTGAATTGAAACATTTATTCACATGTAAATATTAATCTTTTTTTGCTTTTTCAATGTAGGGTGAGGCAATGGAGGCGGGACAATGTGACAAAACAGGAACTGACCTCAATGGTGAAGATGAAGTCCATGCCAATCTAAAGTGAGTGAGCCCTGACCTCTAACCTATAACCCTTATCACTAACTAGTCAAATGGAGAAGTTGAGGTCCACTACTACTCTACATTGCCTCCAGGATTCTGCGATTGCATATTTTTTTTGCTAAATCAATAATACCCAGCATATTATGCTATCGGCTTGCAAATTTGACAAATCACCGCACTATTATCACATACAACTGACCAATCACCGCAGTATAAAAAGAGGGCTCGCAATTTCAACCAACCACCGGATATTAGAGCTAAGGCAGGTGGGGTGGGGTGGGGTGGGGGATATTAGGGCTAAGGCTGGTGGGGTGGGTGGGGGGATATTAGAGCTAAGGCAGGTGGGGTGGGGTGGGGTGGGGGATATTAGGGCTAAGGCTGGTGGGGTGGGTGGGGTGGGGGATATTAGGGCTAAGGCTGGTGGGGTGGGTGGGGGATATTAGGGCTAAGGATGGTGGGTGGGTGGGTGGGGGATATTAGGCTAAGCTGGTGGAGTGGGGGATATTAGGGCTAAGGCTGGTGGGGTGGGTGGGTGGGGGATATTAGGGCTAAGGCTGGTGGAGTGGGTGGGGTGGGGGATATTAGGGCTAAGGCTGGTGGGGTGGGTGGGTGGGGGATATTAGAGCTAAGGCATGGTGGGGTGGGGTGGGGTGGGGGATATTAGGGCTAAGGCTGGTGGGGTGGGTGGGGTGGGGGATATTAGGGCTAAGGCTGGTGGGGTGGGTGGGGGATATTAGGGCTAAGGCTGGTGGGGTGGTGGGGGATATTAGGGCTAGGCTGGTGGGGTGGGTGGGTGGGGGATATTAGGGCTAAGGCTGGTGGGGTGGTGGGGGATATTAGGGCTAAGGCTGGTGGGGTGGTGGGGATATTAGGGCTAAGGCTGGTGGGGTGGGGGGGGATTTAGACCTAAGGCAGGTGGGTGGGGTGGGTGGGGATATTAGGGCTAAGTGCTGGGTGGTGTGGGTGGGGGGATATTAGGGCTAAGGCTGGTGGGGTGGGTGGGGGATATTAGGGCTAAGGCTGGTGGGGTGGTTGGGGGATATTAGGGCTAAGGCTGGTGGGGTGGGTGGGGGATATTAGGGCTAAGGCTGGTGGGGTGGGTGGGTGGGGGATATTAGGGCTAAGGCTGGTGGGTGGGGTGGGGGGGATATTAGGGCTAAGGCTGGTGGGGTGGGTGGGTGGGGGATATTAGGGCTAAGGCTGGTGGGGTGTGTGGGGGATATTAGGGCTAAGGTGGTGGGGTTGGGTGGTGGGGGATATTAGGGCTAATGGTGGTGGATGGTGGGTGGTGTGGGGGATATTAGGTAAGGCTGGTGGGGTGGGTGGGTGGGGGATATTAGGGCTAAGGTGGTGGTGTGGTGGGTGTGGGGGATATTAGGGCTAAGGCTGGTTGTGGTGGTGGGTGGGTGGGGGATATTAGGTAAGGTGGTGGGTGGGTGGTGGGGATATTAGGGCTAAGGTGGTGGGTGGGTGTGGGGGATATTAGGCTAAGGCTGGTTGGGTGGTGGGGATATTAGGCTAAGGCTGGTGGTGGGGTGGGGATATTAGGCTAAGGCTGGTGAGTGGGTGGGTGGGGGAATTAGGGCTAAGGCTGGTGGTGGGTGGGTGTGGGGGATATTAGGGCTAAGGCTGGTGGGTGGGTGTGGGGATATTAGGGCTAAGGCTTGGTGGGTGGGTGGGTGGCATGCATTAGGGCTAAGGCTGGTGGGGTGGGTGGGGGATATTAGGGTAAGGCTGGTGGGTGGGTGGGGGATATTAGGCTAGGTGTGGGGTGGGTGGGGGATATTAGGGCTAAGGCTGGTGTGGGTGGGTGGGGGATATTAGGGCTAAGGCTGGTGGGGTGGGTGGGGGATATTAGGCTAAGGCTGTGGATGGGTGGGGGATATTGAAGGTCTACAGGCTGGTGGTGGGTGGGGAATCTAGGGCTAAGGATGGTTGGGGTGCGGGCTTGGAGTGGATATAGGGACTCAGCGCTGGTGGGTTGAGAGAATGCCAAGAGTGTGCAAAGCTGTTATCAAGGCAAAGGGTGGCTATTTGAAGAATCTCAAATATAAAATATATTTTGGTTTGTTTAACACTTTTTTGGTTACTTCATGATTCCATATGTGTTATTTCATAGTTTTGATGTCTTCACAATTATTCTACAATGTTGGCCAGTAGTGTATATCCTCCTGATTTCAGTTCACAAGCAAAAACTCAAACAGGAAGTACCAGTGACATGTTCAATACGGAAGTGGTTCGTTGAAGCGGATGTTAAGCTATAGGTCTGTTTAGCTAGCAAAGACATTAATATTTTCCAGGATTCATCCAATGGCATTGAGGAGTATAAGTGCATTGATGACATCGTCCCCACAGCGACCATACGTACCCAACCATAAACCATGGATTACAGGCAACATCCGCACTGAGCTAAAGGCTAGAGCTACCTCTTTCAAGGAGCGGTACACTAATCCGGGCGCTTATAATAAATCCTGCTACGCCCTACAACAAACCATCAAAACAGGCAAAGCGTCAATACAGGGCTAAGATTGAATCCTACTACATCAGCTCTGATGCTCCTCGGATGTAGCAGGGCTTGCAAGCTATCACGGATTACAAAGGGAAACCCAGCCGCGAGCTGCCCAGTAACGTGAGCCTACCAGACGAGCTAAATTCTATGCCTTCTATGCGTGCTTCGAGGCAAGAAACACTGAACCATGCATGAGATCACCAGCTGTTCTGGACAACTGTGTGATCACGCTCTCCGAAGCTGATGTGAGTAAGACCTTTAAACAGATTAACATTCACAAGGCCGCAGGGACAGACGAATACTCAGAGGATGCGCTGACCAGCTGGAAAGTGTCTTCACTGACATTTTCAACCTCTCCCTGACCCAGTCTGTAAAACCTAAGTTTCAAGCAGACCACCATAGTCCCTGTGCCCAAGAACGCTAAGGTAACCTGTCTAAATGACTACCGCCCCATAGTGCTCACATCTGTAGCCATGAAGTGCTTTGAAAGGCTGGTCATTGCTCACATCAACACCATCATCCCAGACACCCTGGACCCACTCCAATTCGCATACCGCCCCAACAGATCCACAGATGACACAATGTCTATTGCACTCCACACTGCCCTTTCCCACCTGGACAAAAGGAACACCTGTGTGAGAATGATGTTCATTGACTACAGCTCAGCGTCCAACACCATAGTGCACTCCAAGCTCATCACTAAACTAAGGACCATGGGACTGAACACCTCCCTCTGCAACTGGATCCTGGAGTGCACTATGGTCTGTAGCATTGAAGGTCCCCAAAAACACAGTTGCCTCCATCATTCTTAAATGGAATAAGTTTGGAACCACCAAGACCCTTCCTAGAGCTGGCCGCCCGGCCAAACTGAGCAATCGGGGGAGAAGGGCCTTGGTCAGGGAGGTGACCAAGAACCCGATGGTCACTCTGACAGAGCTCCAGAGTTCCTCTGTGGAGATGGGAGAACCTTTCAGAAGGACATCCATCTCTGCAGCACTCCACCAATCAGGCCTTTATGGTAGAGTGGCCAGATGGACTTGAACCCGATCGAACATCTCTAGAGAGAACTGAAAATAGCTGTGCAGCGACGCTCCCCATCCAACCTGACAGAGCTTGAGAGAATCTGCAGAGAAGAATGGGAGAAACTCCCCAAATACAGGTGTGCCAGGCTTTTAGCGTCATACCCAAGAAGACTCGAGGCTGTAATCGCTGCCAAAGGTGCTTCAACAAAGCACTGAGTAAAGGGTCTGAATACTTATGTTAATTTAATATTTCCGTTTTTTATTTTTTATTTTTTATAAATTTGCTACAATTTCTAAAAACCTGTTTTTACTTTGTCATTATGGGGTATTGTGTGTCGATTGATGACTGAAAAAAAACTATAATATCTGAATGTCTGTCTTTCTTTCTGTCCATTTTCTCTATATTCATCACCCAGCTCTTTCTTTCTGTCCATCTTCTCTATATTCATCACCCAGCTCTGTCATTATGCAGGGCCTGTCTGTCAGAGAAAGGCATTATTAGATGTGATTTATATGTGTTGTTCCTTCTCTCCTCTCTTCCCTTCTCTCCTCTCTTCCCTTCTCTCCTCTCTCCCCTTCTCTTCCCTCCTCTCCTCTCCTCTTCCCTCCTCTCCTCTCCTCTCCTCTCCTCTCCTCTCCTCTCCTCTCCTCTCCTCTCCTCTCCTCTCCTCCTATCTTACCTCCTCTCCTCTCCTCAGCCTAGGTTGGCCCCTCCTCTCAGCCCTTATAGGGCCCCTTGTCTCCACCAGGCCACACCCCCAACAGGTGGGTGCAGCGTCCACAAAACACTACCCACAATCCACCATGCTACCCACAAGCCATCTGGAGCGTTTGCCTGGCCTGATCGCTGCCCGCCAAACGGACAGACATGGTGGAACGAATGACTGACTCCACCCACTGGAGTTTAACATCATCTGATTGGCCATAAGGCTCAACACTACGTACTGTACAGTACAGTGTGGATCACCACCCAACAACATATCTGTCCTCTGACCCTGACTGACTGAACAAGGTATAGGTTCTGGTACCTTTCACAGTATTCCTTTCTGGGGACCTGATGATCTAATGGTCCTTTATTCATTTCAAATGCTTCTTCAAATGTAAGAAGCATTATTATATAGACCGATTGGCATTATAACATGTTCTAGACTGGTTATATACTGGTTATGAAGAGGGTATGGACAGATTGGCATTCTGCAGAATAGGTACTGCAATTCAGAGGAGAAGGAACGCCCTGCAAACGAGGCTGCTGCTATTGGTCATTCGATGAGGAGGAGGGAACAGAGTTCGGCCATATCCATGCTGGCTAATTACTAGCAGTATCAGGATGATGTCATAACTTCCTGTATATAGATGCGTTAAAGGAGGATGATGTCATAACTTCCTGTATATAGATGCGTTAAAGGAGGATGATGTCATAACTTCCTGTATATAGATGCAGTGTCAGGATGATGTCATAACTTCCTGTATATAGATGCGTTAAAGGAGGCACATTCAACAAATCTGATCTAACAAAGTGGATATTCGTCAAATCCGTCATTATTTATGTTTTGTAACAGGCCCACAATGTGGCTACTTACAGACTCCACCAGACCAGACTAGACTAAACTACACCAGACTAGACCAGACTAGACCAGACTAAACTACACCAGACTAGACCAGACTAGACCAGACTAAACTACACCAGACTAGACCAGACTAGACCAGACTAAACTACACCAGACTAGACCAGACTAGACCAGACTAAACTACACCAGACTAGACCAGACTAGACCAGACTAAACTACACCAGACTAGACCAGACTAGACCAGACCAGTGGTCCTCTGTAGCTCAGCTGGTAGAGCACGGCGCTTGTAACGCCAAGGTAGTGGGTTCGATCCCCGGGACCACCCATACACAAACATGTATGCACGCATGACTATAAGTCGCTTTGGATAAAAGCGTCTGCTAAATGGCATATTATTATTATTATTATTATTATTACTAGACCAGACTACACCAGACAACACCAGACCAAACCAGACTACACCAGACTAGACCAGACCAGACCGATCCCGACAGACCAGACCAGACACCAACCAGACTAGACCATACCAGACCAGACCAACCACAGACTACACCAGACAGACCAGACCAGACCAACCAGACTAACCAGACAACCAGACTAGACCAGACCAGCACCAGACTAGCCAGACTAACCAGACAGACCAGACCAGACTACCAGACTAGACCAGACCAGACCAGACCAGACTAGACCAGACCAGACCAGACTAGACCAGACCATACTACCAGACTAGACCAGACCAGACCAACTAGACCAACTAGACCAGACTAGACCAACCAGACTAGACCAGACCTAGACCAGACCAGACCAGACCAGACTATACCAGACTAGACCAGACTAGACCAGACCAGACTAGACCAGACTAGACCAGACTAGACCAGACCAGACCAGACCAGACTAGACCAGACTATACCAGACTAGACCAGACCAGACCAGACCAGACTAGACCAGACTATACCAGACTAGACCAGACCAGACCAGACCAGACTACACCAGACTAGACCAGACCAGACCAGACCAGACCAGACCAGACCAGACTAGACCAGACCAGACCAGACCAGACTAGACCGAAAACCTTTACCTACACAGCATTATTCTGCTCTGATGCCAGTGATAGTGATGATAGTGATGCCAGTATAGTGATGATAGTGATGCCAGTGATAGTGATGCCAGTGATAGTGATGTTATGTCTTGGTTCTTTACAGCGCTGTGTAGTCATGTAAAACACAAGGTGCCTTCACTCCAAGTTCCTTTCTGAGATTATTTGACAACTGTAATGTTTTCTCAAGCTAGTACCTATGCATGGATCCTATTGAAGCCTTGTGGATGTTGTATTCTATATTAACCAACAGAATGAAATAGTTCATATATATTATGTTATTTTTAGAGATGTTTAGCTAAAACTGTTCCGTATGCACCATTCTCCAGTCAATGATATGAAGCTCAGATACAGTATATATTTCCCAGTCTGTACTCCTTTCGTTCCAAATGGCACCCTGTTCCCTGTGTAGTGCTGTATGTTTGACTAGGGCCCATAGAGCTCTGGTCTAAAGTAGTGCACTATATAGGGAATAGGGTGCCATTTGGGACGCAGCCACATTTCAACACACGATCATGTTCTTTTCATGATTAATAGTAATTAATATTTGACATCATATTTTTATATGCTCATGTTCTCTGTGATAAGGATCGACGGAAAGTGATTGTCTCAATGATAATCAAAGTGAACTTTATGCAATGTATGATTTTTACAATTCAAACCCTGTTTTAATTATATTTCTAATCCAGTTCAAGTCAAATTGAACTTCAGACCTAAAGATGTGTTTGTGATGGATAATGTTTGCCCTACCTCTAACAATACATTGTTATCTGTGCCAAAGCCTTGCTATGCATATAGAAAATGGCAACTTTTACATGAGTCATGGGTCATGGGTCATGGGTCATGGAGTTCACCCCCTAGATGTCCTTAGAGGTAGTCCACAGTTTCCATAACATACTGAATCCTACAGCGGTCACCCTTCAGTTTCCATAACATACTGAAATCCTACAGCGGTCACCCTTCAGTTTCCATAACATACTGAATCCTACAGCGGTCACCCTTCAGTTTCCATAACATACTGAATCCTACAGCGGTCACCCTTCAGTTTCCATAACATACTGAATCCTACAGCGGTCACCCTTCAGTTTCCATAACATACTGAATCCTACAGCGGTCACCCTTCAGTTTCCATAACATACTGAATCCTACAGCGGTCACCCTTCAGTTTCCATAACATACTGAAATCCTACAGCTGTCAGACTTAAAGTGCAGTCAGTACAAAGTATACACAAGATATCCCATCAGGCTATAGGAGCATTGAGAGGTTCTCTGATTTGTCAGTCACCTGAGATTCTCTTTTAACCTGAGATGCTCAGAGAAGATGTTCATTAGACACTGACATGTCTTCTCCACCAGAGCATTATTGATCACATCTCTCTGATTAAATGTTCTCTCTCTCCGACCGTCACATACTGAGATTCTAACACATGGTTGACAATGGTGTGTTTTTACCTGACAGTACTGTAGGTTGAAGAGGGATTAGGGTTGTTGTGATGGTTAGGGTTGTTGTGATGGTTAGAGATAGGGTTAAGGTTGTTGTGATGTGGTGGTGGCCTTGATTTTCAGTCTCTACGGTATATGCAGGGATTGACTTGGGCAGGAGCTCACTGGAGCCCAGTACCGGCACCTCAAATGTTCTACCGATTGAGCTCCTGTTCCTCTTATAGAATATTAGCTCAAAAGTACTGTGGAGCTCCTGCACCTAATTATAAACAGTACCGGCACCCAAAATGTGTACCGGCACCTATTTAAATCCAAGTCAACCACTGGGTATATGTAATAGAAATTGTCTGACACGTGAGACTAGGAAATCCTACCACAGGACATGCTGGCTTGATTGTAGGCCTATTATTATTGGGTAAAGACAAACCATTTATTGGGAAAATGGTTGATAATTGTGAAAAATTGTATTCAAATCAAATTGTATTTGTCACATGCGACATATGTGTAGATTTTACTGTGAAATGCTTACGAGCCCTTTCCCAACAATGCAGAGTTACAAAGGTAGAACTGAATGGTAAAGAAAATGCATTTTTCTATTGCCTGTTTCTAGTATCAATGTTCTACCAAAGTCATTGTGAGGTCAACATAATAATACATATTTTATATATGTATGTATATGTATATATATATATATATGTATATATATGTATGTATGTATGTATATATATATATATATATATATATATATATATATATATATACAGTGCCTTCGGAAAGTATTCAGACCCCTTGACTTTTTCCACATTTTGTTACGTTACAGCCTTATTCTAAAATTGATTAAATTGTTTTTTCCCCTCATTAATCTACACACAATACCCCGTAATGACAAAGCAAAAACTGGTTTTTAGAAATGTATGCTAATTTATATAAAATAAAACTGAAATATTACATTTACATAAGTATTCAGACCCTTTACTCAGTACTTTGTTGAAGCACCTTTGGCAGCGATTACAGCCTCGAGTCTTCTTGGGTATGACGCTACAAGCTTGGCACACCTGTATTTGGGGAGTTTCTCACATTCTTCTCTGCAGATCCTCTCAAGCTCTGTCAGGTTGGATGGGGAGCGTTGCTGCACAGCTATTTTCAGGTCTCTCCAGAGATGTTCGATCAGGTTCAAGTCCGGGCTCTGGCTGGGCCACTCAAGGACATTCAGAGACTTGTCCCGAAGCCACTCCTGCGTTGTCTTGGCTGTGTGCTTAGGGTCGTTGTCCTGTTGGAAGGTGAACCTTCGCCCTAGTCTGAGGTCCTGAGCGCTCTGGAGAAGGTTTTCATCAAGGATTTTTCTGTACTTTTCTCCGTTCATCTTTGCCTCGATCCTGACTAGTCTCCCAGTCCCTGCCGCTGAAAAACATCCCCACAGCATGATTCTGCCACCACCATGCTTCCCCGTAGGGATGGTGCCAGGTTTCCTCCAGACGTGACGCTTAGCATTCAGGCCAAAGAGTTCAATCTTGGTTTCATCAGACCAGAGAATCTTGTTTCTCATGGTCTAAGAGTCTTTAGGTGCCTTTTGGCAAACTCCAAGCGGGCTGTCATGTGCCTTTTACTGAGGAGTGGCTTCCGTCTGGCCACTCTACCATAAAGGCCTGATTGGTTGAGTACTGCAGAGATGGTTGTCCTTCTGGAAGGTTCTCCCATCTCCACAGAGGAACTCTGGAGCTCTGTCAGAGTGACCATCAGGTTCTTGGTCACCTCCCTGACCAAGGCCCTTCTCCCCCGATTGCTCAGTTTGGCTGGGCAGCCAGCTCTAGGAAGAGTCTTGGTGGTTCCAAACTTCTTCCATTTAAGAATGATGGAGGCCACTGTGTTCCTGGGGACCTTCAATGCTGCAGAAATGTTTTGGTACCCTCCCCCAGATCTGTGCCTCGACACAATCCTGTCTCTGAGCTCTACAGACAATTCCTTCGACCTCATGGCTTGGTTTTTGCTCTGACATGCACAGTCAACTGTGGGACCTTATATAAACAGGTGTGTGCCTTTCCGAATCATGTCCAATCAATTGAATTTACCACAGGTGGACTCCAATCAAGTTGTAGAAACATCTCAAGTATGATCAATGGAAACAGGATGCTCCTGAGCTCAATTTCGAGTCTCATAGCAGAGGGTCTGAATACTTATGTAAATAAGATATTTCTGTAGTTGTAATACATTTGCAAACAATTCTAAGAACCTGTTTTCGCTTTGTCATTATGGGGTATTGTGTGTAGATTGCTGAGGATTTTTATTTATTTAATCGATTTTAAAATAAGGCTGTAACGCAACAAAAGGTGGAATAATGTATTGGACCAGGCTATATAAGTATTGGACCAGGCTATATACAGTACCAGTCAAATGTTTGGACACCTACTCATTCAAGGGTTTTTCTTTATTTTTACTATTTTCGACATTGTAGAACTATAAAATAACACATCATGTAGTGACCAAAAAAGTGTTAAACAAATCAAATTATATTTTATATTTGAGATTCTTCGAAGTAGCCACCCTTTGCCTTGATGACATCTTTGCACACTCTTGGCATTCTCTCAACCAGCTTCACCTGGAATTATTTTCCAACAGTCTTGAAGGAGTTCCCGCATATACTGAGCACTTGTTGGCTGCTTTTCCTTCACTCTGCGGTCCAACTCATCCCAAACCATCTCAATTGGGTTGAGGTCGGGTGATTGTGTTGGCCAGGTCATCTGATGCAACACTCCATCCCTCTCCTTCTTGGTAAAATAGCCCTTACACAGCCTGGAGGTGTGTTGGGTCATTGTCCTGTTGAAAAACAAATGATAGTCCCACTAAGCCCAAACCAGATGGGATGGCTTATCGCTGCAGAATGCTGTGGTAGCAATGCTAGTTAAGTGTGCCTTGAATTCTAAATAAATCTTGGCCAGTGTCACCAGCAATGCACCCCCACACCATCACACCTCCTCCTCCATGCTTCACGGTGGGAACCACACATGCGGAGATCATCCGTTCACCTACTCTTTGTCTCACAAAGACACGGCGGTTGGAACCAAAAATCTCAAATTTGGACTCATCAGACCAAAGGACAGAGTTCCACCAGTCTAATGTCCATTGCTCGTGTTTCTTGGCCCAAGCAAGTCTCTTCTTCTTATTGGTGTCCTTTAGTAGTGGTTTCTTTGCAGCAATTCGACCATGAAGGCCTGATTCACACAGTCTCCTCTGAACAGTTGATGTTGAGATGTGTCTGTTACTTGAACTCTGTGAAGCATTTATTTGGGCTGCAATCTGAGGTGCAGTTAACTCTAATGAACCTATCCTCTGCAGCAGAGGTAATTCTGGGTCTACCATTCCTGTGGCGGTCCTCATGAGAACCAGTTTCATCATAGTGCTTACTGGTTTTTGCGACTGCACTTGAAGAAACTTTCAAAGTTCTTGACATTCTGGATTGACTGACCTTCATATCTTAAAGTAATGATGGACTGTCGTTTCTCTTTGCTTATTTGAGCTGTTCTTGCCATAATATGGACTTGGTCTTTTACCAAATAGGGCTATCTTCTGTATACCCCCCCTACCTTGTCACAACACAACTGATTGGCTCAAACGCATTAAGAAGGAAAGAAATTCCACAAATTAACTTATAATCAATCAATCAATCAATCTTTTCATAAAGCCCTTTTTACATCAGCAGATGTCAGAAAGTGCTTTACAGAAACCCAGCCTAAAACCCCAAACAGCAAGCAATGCAGATGTAGAAGCACGGTGGCTAGGAAAAACTCCCTAGAAAGGCAGGAACCTAGGAAGAAACCTAGAGAGGAACCAGGCTCTGAGGGGTGGCCAGTCCTCTTCTGGCTGTGCCGGGAGGAGATTATAACAGTACATGGCCATTAAGGCCAGATTTTTTTCCAAGATGTTCAAACGTTCATAGATGACCAGCAGGGTCAAATAATAATCACAGTGGTTGTAGAGGTTGCAACAGGTCAGGACATCAGGAGTAAATGTCACTTGGCTTTTCATAGCCGGGCATTTAGAGGTTGAAAACAGCAGGTCTGGGACAAGGTAGCACGTCCGGTGAACAGGTCAGGGTTCCATAGCCTCAGGCAGAAGAGTGGAAACTGGAGCAGCAGCACGACCAGGTGGACTGGGGACAGCCAGGAGTCATCAGGCCAGGTAGTCCTGAGGCATGGTCCTAGGGCTCAGGTCCTCCGGGAGGGGAGGGAGTGAGAGAGAATTAGAGGGAGCATACTTAAATTCACACAGGACACCGGATAAGACACGAGAATTACACCAGATATAACAGACAAGGTACACCTGTTAATTAAAATGCATTCCAGGTGACTACCTCATGAAGCTGGTTGAGAGAATGCCAAGCGTGTGTAAAGCTGTCATCAAGGCAAAGGGTGGCTATTTGAAGAATCTCAAATATAATTTGATTTGTTTAACACTTTGTTGGTTATTATTATTCTACAATGTAGAAAATAGTAAAAATAATGAAAAACCCTGGAATGAGTAGGTGTCCAAACTGTTGACTGGTACTGCATATATATATATATATATATGTCTTGGACCAGGCTATATATATGTCTTGGACCAGGCTATATATATATATATATATATATATATATATATATATATATATATATATATACATGTCTTGGACCAGGCTATGTATGTATCTTTTCTGTTGACAATTTATCAGTGTATCATATTTTCTTTCTTTCTTGATGTGCATAGCTGTTGGCTGACCAGCAGAGCTTGACTTGGGCAGGAGTACCAGCACATCAAATGTTCTACTGCTTGAGCTCCTGCACCTAAATATAAACAGTACCGGCACCCAAAATGAGTCCCGGCACCTATTTCGGTCCATGTCAAGCACTGCTGAGCAGTGTGGGAGGGAGGGGCTAGCGCTGTTGGTTTTATATGGAGAAAGATATCTCTGGTCCAGGGTGTGGTTTGGTTATGCGCTCAACGTCGCCCTGGACCAGAGCAAGGATAAAGATATTAACATTAAGACGTCCATTACAGATGTACATAGTGTATTTCTCTGCTTTGGTGCACAACAATACGATAAGCTGTTTTTCTTACTTTATGTTTGTACTTCTGTGAAATAAAGTTGATTATTTTATCACACGCTCTAACGCATTTACTCTTCTATAGGTTACTACTAGAGGGTTGGAAGATTATGGGAACTTTCCCAAAATTCCCAGGTTTTCCAGAAACCCCGGTTGGAGGAGTCCTTGATTTCCTGCTTATGCCCCCATTTATAACCACATTACCATAGATAACATCAATGAAGCATATTTGGTATAGATTTGAACAATTGACTTGCTCTAAGTGGTCCTTATGAGTTCTCATTTCCATCCTGTTGTCAGCCTTACCCATCCCCCATCCTGTTATCAGCCTTACCCAACCCCCATCCTGTTGTCAGCCTTACCCAACCCCCATCCTGTTATCAGCCTTACCCAACCCCCATCCTGTTATCAGCCTTACCCAACCCCCATCCTGTTATCAGCCTTACCCAACCCCCATCCTGTTATCAGCCTTACCCAACCCCCATCCTGTTATCAGCCTTACCCAGCCCCCATCCTGTTATCAGCCTTACCCAACCCCCATCCTGTTATCAGCCTTACCCAACCCCCATCCTGTTATCAGCCTTACCCAACCCCCATCCTGTTATCAGCCTTACCCAACCCCCATCCTGTTATCAGCCTTACCCAACCCCCATCCTGTTATCAGCCTTACCCAACCCCCATCCTGTTATTACATTTACATTTTAGTCATTTAGCAGACGCTCTTATCCAGAGCGACTTACAGGAGCAATTAGGGTTAAGTGCCTTGCTCAAGGGCACATTTACGTCATTTAGCAGACGCTCTTATCCAGAGCGACTACAAATTGGTGCATTCACCCTATAGCCAGTGGGATAACCACTTTACACTTTTTTTTGGGGGTGGGGGGGGTAGAAGGATTACTTTATCCTATCCCAGGTGTTCCTTAAAGAGGTGGGGTTTCAAATGTCTCCGGAAGGTGGTGAGTGACTCCGCTGTCCTGGCGTCAAGGATGAGTTGATCAGCGAAGTGAGGTAGGGGAGAAGGTCACCGGAGATGGTCTGGAGAAGAGAGGAGGGGATGGGGTCAAGCGGGCAGGTTGTTGGGCGGCCTGCAGTCACTAGTCGCAAGATTTTATCTGGAGAGAGAGGGGAGAAAGAAGTCAAAGCATAGGGTAGGGCAGTGTGAGCAGGACCAGCAGTGTCATTAGACTTAACAAACGAGGATCGGATGTCGTCAACCTTCTTTTCAAAGTGGTTGACAAAGTCATCCACAGAGAGGGAGGAGGGGGGGGGGGGGGGGAGGATTCAGCAGTGAGGAGAATGTGGCAAAGAGCTTCCTAGGGTTAGAGGCAGATGCTTGGAATTTAGAGTGGTAGAAAGTGGCCTTAGCAGCAGAAACAGATGAAGAAAATGTAGAGAGGAGGGAGTGAAAAGATGCCAGGTCGGCAGGGAGTTTAGTTTTCTTCCATTTCCGCTCAGCTGCCCGGAGCTCTGTTCTGTGAGCTCGCAATGAGTCATCAAGCCACGGAGCTGGAGGGGAGGACCGAGCCGGCCGGGAGGATAGGGGACACAGGGAGTCAAAGGATGCAGAAAGGGAGGAGAGGAGGGTTGAGGAGGCAGAATCAGGAGATTGGAGGGAGAAGGATTGAGCAGAGGGAAGAGATGATAGGATGGAAGAGGAGAGAGTAGTGGGAGAGAGAGAGCGAAGGTTGCGGCGGCGCGTTACCATCTGTGTAGGGGCAGAGTGAGTAGTGTTGGAGGAGAGCGAGAGAGAAAAGGATACAAAGTAGTGGTCGGAGACATGGAGGGGAGTTGCAGTGAGATTAGTAGAAGAGCAACATCTAGTAAAGATGAAGTCAAGCGTATTGCCTGCCTTGTGAGTGGGGGGGGATGGTGAGAGGGTGAGGTCAAAAGAGGAGAGGAGTGGAAAGAAGGAGGCAGAGAGAAATGAGTCAAATGTAGACGTGGGGAGGTTGAAATCCCCCAAAACTGTGAAGGGTGAGCCATCCTCAGGAAAGGAACTTATCAAGGCGTCAAGCTCATTGATGAACTCTCCAAGGGAACCTGGAGGGCGATAGATGACAAGGATATTAAGCTTAAATGGGCTAGTGACTGTGACAGCGTGGAATTCAAATGAGGAGATAGACAGATGGGTTAGGGGAAAAATTGAGAATGACCACTTGGGAGAGATGAGGATTCCTGTGCCACCACCCCTCTGACCAGATGCTCTCGGGGTATGCGAGAACACATGGTCAGACGAGGAGAGCGCAGTAGGAGTAGCAGTGTTTTCAGTGGTAATCCATGTTTCCGTCAGCGCCAGGAAGTCGAGGGACTGGAGGGTAGCATAGGCTGGGATGAAGTCAGCCTTGTTGGCAGCAGAACGGCAGTTCCAGAGGCTGCCTGAGACCTGGAACTCCAGGTGTGTGGTGCGTGCAGGGACCACCAGGTTAGAGAGGCAGCAGCCACGCGGTGTGAGGCGTTTGTGTAGCCTGTGCGGAGAGGAGAGAACAGGGATAGGCAGAGGCATAGTTGACAGGCTGCAGCAGAAGGTTATCAGCCTTACCCAACCCCCATCCTGTTATCAGCCTTACCCAACCCCCATCCTGTTATCAGCCTTACCCAGCCCCCATCCTGTTATCAGCCTTACCCAACCCCCATCCTGTTATCAGCCTTACCCAGCCCCCATCCTGTTATCAGCCTTACCCAACCCCCATCCTGTTATCAGCCTTACCCAACCCCCATCCTGTTATCAGCCTTACCCAACCCCCATCCTGTTATCAGCCTTACCCAACCCTCGTGACCCCTAAAGGACAAAAGGACATTTCTCAACCCAAGAACTTCAACTGGTTACAATGGGTTGTCGTTGAGACAAATGAATGATGTTCTTCTAGCAACCCCATAACAAGACGACCCTGCTCTCTTCAACAGAGCTGTGTTGGGGTTTTTCCACTTGGCCCCCGACACTGACTGTCCTGTCAAAGCCCCATAACAAACATACAATAACACCCTTAATAAGACAACCCTCCTCTCCCTAACAGAGTCCCATAACCCTTCTCTCTGTGTGAGGTTGTTCCACTCTGCCCCTGGCTGTCTTGGCACCAGTCCTGTCCTGAACAGAGGACACTGTCCTTCCTGTTCGACCGGGGCAGCATTTCCTGTTTCCTGTCAGCAGGGCACTTAACTGAAGTCACTGACCCTCCTTAAGGCTAAATAGAGAGGGCCATCTCAGAAGAGTCTGTTTGTGGCAGTGGTAGTTATCTGATTCTGTTACTACCAAACCCTGGTCAATGGAGGGCCATCTCAGAAGAATCAGACTGACACACAGGAGCAGTTTTCAACATAAAGGTTCAAAATGTCTATTTGTACAAATTATACCTATTCAAGTTTTAAATCAACTTTGTCACTGGTAGACACAATTCCTGCCTTTTCTGATGAAAATATAATAATGAGACACATTCATATTGATCGGTCGTGTTCTGTTGTAATGAGAACTGATCGGTCGTGTTCTGTTGTAATGAGAACTGATCGGTCGTGTTCTGTTGTAATGAGAACTGATCGGTCGTGTTGTTATGAGAGGCAGACTGATTCCTATTAACATGTATCTAGAGCAACACCCACTCACACCCATTCACAGCTCCAAAGTCCACACAGACACATCACCTAGCAGACCGAGTGGTCCAGGGCACAGATTTATTTTGGAAAAAGAACAACTTTGAATCCACCCAGACTCTTTACAACACAAGGTACCAATATGAAAATAAGATATACACTGTACACACAAAAGTATGTGGACACCCCTTCAAATTAGTGGATTTGGCTATTTCAGCCACACCCGTTCTTGACAGGTGTATAAAACTTGAGCAGACAGCCATGCAATCTCCATGGACAAACATTGCAGTAGAATGGCCTTACTGAAGAGCTCAGTGACTTTCAACGTGGCAGTGTCATAGGATTTTACCTTTCCAACAAGTCAGTTTGTCAAATTTCTGCCCTGCTAGAGTTGCCCCCGGTCAACTGTAAGTGCTGTTATTGTGAAGTGGAAACGTCTAGGAGCAACAACGGCTCAACCACGAAGTGGTAGGCCACACAAGCTCACAGAACGGGACCGCCGAGTGCTGTAGAGTAAAAATCGTCCGTCCTCGGTTGCAACACTCACTACCGAGTTCCAAACTGCCTCTGGAAGCAACGTCAGCACAAGAACTGTTCGTCGGGAGCTTCATGAAATGGGTTTACATGACCGAGCAGCCGCACACATGCCTAAGATCACCATGTGCAACGCCAAGCGTCGGCTGGAGTGGTGTAAAGGTCGCTTCCATTGGACTCTGGAGCAGTGGAAATGCATTCTCTGGAGTGATGAATCACGCTTCACCATCTGGCAGTCCGACGGACGAATCTGGGTTTGGCGGATGCCAGGAGAATGCTACCTGCGCCAATGCATAGTGCCAACTGTAAAATTTGATGGAGGAGGAATAATGGTCTGGGGCTGTTTTTCATGTTCTGGGCTAGGGCCCTTAGTTCCAGTGAAGGGAAATCTTAATGCTACAGCATACAATGACATTCTAGACGATTCTTCCAACTTTGCGGCAACAGTTTGGGGAAGGCCCTTTCCTGTTTCAGCATGACAATGTCCCAGTGTACAAAGCGAGGTCCATACAGGAACGGTTTGTCGAGATCAGTGTGGAAGAACTTGACTGGCCTGCACAGAGCCCTGACCTCAACCCTATCGAACACCTTTGGGATGAATTGGAACGCCGACTGCGAGCCAGGCCTAATCACCCAACATCAGGGCCCGACCTCACTAATGCTCTTGTGGCTGAATGGAAGTAAGTCCCCGCAGCAATGTTCCAACATCTAGTGGAAAGCCTTCCCAGAAGAGTGGAGGCTGTTATAGCAGCAAAGGGGGGATCAACTCCATATTAATACCCATGATTTTGGAATGAGATGTTGGACGAGCAGCTGTCCACATACTTTTGGTCATGTAGTGTACTTAACATTTAAAATTCTAATTCAATAAATAATATTCAAACAAATCAAAATGCTGAAATAAATAAAATGTGCATGATGCAACATATCACATTCACTACACTGTAAAAAAAGACAGCATCAATAATTCTGTTGCAGAATGACAATGGACATAACATTTGATTTGACATGTTAGTGTATAATGAGTTGACTCATTGATGCCCTCTGCAGGCCAGGGCGTTAAACTGCAGCACACAGCCATTCGATAGTGCACAATTTAGCGAAACGTTTTGCAAAGGAACAAGTTTTGCAACAAAAACAAGTATTTCTTTTTAGACAAGTTCAGGTTAATCCCGGCCTGTTTCAATCTGTTTTCTTCCATTTAGTACCTAGTGAATACACCCACAGCTGTTCACCCTCATCAGGAGAACAAGATTATGAGAAGAGACTAATAGAACTCAAACATTATGATCAGAAAGGATGAACATCATAAAAGGAATGTTTAAATAGTGTTGCTCCAAATGTCATCTTATATAGAAACAAAACAGATCTCAACAACAGAGAAGCCCTAGCAAGGTTAAAATGTGACATCATGACCTAATGTGTTCTACATCATCACTTAATATCAGACAGCAACAGGAGGCTCCACCAATCAGAAACACATGGAAGAATGTACTGCCCTGTTCCCTAAGATTTTCACCTTCACACATAATGTACTGCTCTGTCCCCTTCAGCTTCATACATAATGTACTGCTCTGTCCCCTTCAGCTTCATACATAATGTACTGCTCTGTCCCCTTCAGCTTCATACATAATGTACTGCTCTGTCCCCTTCAGCGTCATACATAATGTACTGCTCTGTTCCCTTCACCTTCACACATAATGTACTGCTCTGTCCCCTTCAGCTTCATACATAATGTACTGCTCTGTCCCCTTCAGCTTCATACATAATGTACTGCTCTGTCCCCTTCAGCGTCATACATAATGTACTGCTCTGTTCCCTTCACCTTCATACATAATGTACTGCTCTGTCCCCTTCAGCTTCATACATAATGTACTGCTCTGTTCCCTTCACCTTCACACATAATGTACTGCTCTGTCCCCTTCAGCTTCATACATAATGTACTGCTCTGTTCCCTAAGACTTTCCAGTCCATTCCATCCAAGTGCACACTTCAGGAGAAGAGTAGAGAATCAAATGTTTTTTTTAAATTTAACCAGGTAGGCCAGTTGAGAACAAGTTCTCATTTACAACTGCGACCTGGCCAAGATAAAGCAAAGCAGTGTGATAAAAACAACAGAGTTACATATGGGGTAAAACAACATACAGTCAGAAATACAACATGTAGCCTTTCCCTTTGTCGATCCATCAGTAAAATACCTCACAGCTCGACATCAAGCACTTCCACACACTCCTGTACTGTACTGATAGTCACACAGGACACAGCCTCCCAGCCTGACAGTGGATGGAGGGAGGGAGGGAGGGAGGGAGGGAGGGAGGACGGGACGGAGGGAGGGAGGACGGGAGGGAGGGAGGACGGGAGGGAGGGAGGGAGGGGAGGGAGGGAGGACGGGACGGGACGGAGGGAGGGAGGGAGGGAGGTGGTGGAGGAAGACGTGATCACTGTGGTGTGAAGAAGATAGATGAGTGGTTAGAAGATAGAAGGCTGAGGCATTGTGGGATTGTCCGCATCCCACATGGCACCCTATTCCCTATATAGGGATGTAGCTCAGTTGGTAGCATGCCGTTTGCAACGCCAGGGTTGTGGGTTCGATTCCCACGGGGGGCCAGTATGAAAAATAATAAAATAATGTATGCACTCACTAAAACTGTAAGTTGCTTTGGATAAGAGCGTCTGCTAAATGACTAAAATGTAAATGTAGTGCACTAGTTTTGACCAGAGCCGGTCCGGAATCAGAATCACCTTTATTCGCCAAGTACCAGGAATTTCACCTGGTGAAGTGGTGCTGATTGACATCATCTTACAATAAAACAGAATATACTGGTCTAAAGTAGTGCACTATATAGGGAATAGGGTGCCATTCTCTGGTCTAAAGTAGTGCACTATATAGGGAATAGGGTGCCATTCTCTGGTCTAAAGTAGTGCACTATATAGGGAATAGGGTGCCATTCTCTGGTCTAAAGTAGTGCACTATATAGGGAATAGGGTGCCATTTGGGACGCAGTCATATTGTTGGCCCTTCCCGTCCATCAGATGGCGATGCCCTTCCCGTCCATCAGATGGCGATGCCCTTCCCGTCCATCAGATGTCGATGGCGATGCCGTGCTTGGTGGACATCATGTCTCTAGTTCCTGTCAGGTACATGAGCACAGAGCACAGGTGTGGCAGGGTGGCTGTGATGCTCACATACAGCCAATAGGAGATGGGGGCCGTGTTGCCGAACGGACACACCCACAGGCCACGGCGGACCCCGTCTCTGATGTGGTGTGAGGCCAGGGAGATAAAGAGCAGCCAGGGTAGAGAGCACCATGAGTCCTTTAGCCTGCCCAGCCACAGCACCAGCCTCAGAGAGAGGCAGAGGACAGGGACTACAGAGGAGCAGTGGAGGGGGGGGCGGTGGGGCAGGCTGGTGGCTGCCTGCAGGAGGAAACAGTCAGATCACATATCAGAAGAGATAGGAGGTTATTGTTTCTATATTCCTTCATAAACACTATGGGCCAGTTTCCCAGACACAGATAAGGCCTTGTCCTGGACTGAAGTTATCTCAGTGGATATCTTCATATTTTCTGTCCAGGGCTAGGCCTAATCTGTTGTCTGGGAAACTGTACACTAATCTATAAATGACACTGAAAACCAAAGGGAGAATGTTCCATAAATGTTCCTTACTTTGAGCGACAGAGAGCCCGCCATATAGAAGTGATCCAGGTCGATAACAGAGGCCAGTATCCCTGCTAGGATAACTTCATAGAAGTCACTCTTCTTCCTGAGGCCAATGACAATCGCCCAGGACCAGAGGCCTATCAGACCATGGACGGTGTTGTCCAGCGCTGCCCGCAGCCACGGGTGCTGTTGGAGAAGGGTCAGCTGCAGGACATGATCAGCCAGCACACAGAAGGCCCCCAGGGCAGTGCTGGCCAGCAGGGAGGCAGAGGAGAAGGTCTGGAGCAGGGCCTGGGCTTTCTCTGTTTCCACAGCCAGGCTCAGGGGCATGGAGCCGCCCGTACCACCAGCAGAGGAGTCCAGCTTGGAGTGATACCCTCGCATGGCGCTGCTGGAGAGAGGAGGTCAGCAACACCTAGCAGGCACACTAGAAGACATAATACTGTAAACATCATACATTAGACATGATGGAAGTAGCTCTGGTCCAGGGTAACATCATACATTAGACATGATGGAAGTAGCTCTGGTCCAGGGTAACATCATAGATAAGGCATGATGGAAGTAGCTCTGGTCCAGGGCCTTGAAGAATGCTCAGCATCAGAAACCCACAAGTAAATGTCCTGGACCAGAGCTAGAATCGAACCTACACCAATGTAGACTTTAGCATAAAGCCACTGTCTTTTTACCTTTACTGTCCTTTTGATAACCAAGGCAACTGTTCCTTTAAGAAGTCACCGTGGATCATGATCTCTAAATAGAGCTCTATCCTACTGGAGCTGAGGAGATATGTAGACCAGGCCATACTCATAATAACCTGGATTCTATTCATTAGTGCACACTGTAGTGAAACGTTTAGAAACAGAAAAACTAACATTTATGTTTCTTATTGGTTAAGTGCAGTCCCTTTCTGTTAGTCTTTTGCTCCATTTGGTGCCTTGTGAATATGACCCTGAATTAGCCTGACTACATGCCAGAATAGGCAGTACAATGTGCATAAGTCATTTCTTCAATCAATCTACCATCCAAAAGCAAAGTCACTGACAGCAATAAAGGCCAGATCTTTCCACAGAGATGCAGACGGGCCTGAATGATGCAGAACCAGAATGATGAGAGAACTGTCAGGGAAAGGCTCATATTTGGCTCCTTATGGTACCAAGACGTTCCATTGAAGAATACGGATGACATTTATTCTGTTTTTTTATGTTTTGTAGAGAACACACATCTGTTTGATTGACAAAATGCAACCTTAGGCAGAATTCAACTCATGCATCCGGTGTAGCTAGCTAGCTAACTAGCCGTGAAAATAGTTGGATTGTCTGTTTAGGCGGGCAGAAGACTAAAACATGTCACTAAGAAATAACTACCTAGCTAGCTAGCTAGCCAACGTTAGTTACAATACTTCATTATGTTCAATGTCAAAAAGTTGATATCACGACGTTAACTAGCTGGATAGCTAGCTACCTATTGGATCAGCTTAGACTGTGCAACATCACATGACAACATAATGTGTTCATTTTAGACTGAATATACTTTTGTATTTCAAGATGATTCATTTAGCTAGCTAGCTAGCTAGCTAATGTATTAGCTAGGTAATGCTAGCTAATAACAGCTATCCTATCTGCGAAACGGTTGGCTAACGTTATAGACGTGTGTTATACAGGTGTGTTTGATTTCCAAGATCTAACAATGTGATGAGGCCAAAAGTTATCGAAATTAAATGACGCCGTTAATGAAAATGATAGCTACATTTGTCACTCACCCCATTGTAGCTAAATTCGTCCATCTACTGTAGGCTAGCTACCGTCTGTCCACACCGTTTCTAAACCCGTAACCCAGAGGCGCAACACGGCGAGACTTCCGGGAACGCTTGACGAACAGACCAAACAGACCAGGCCGGGGTTTGGGCTTTGAGAAACCACTGAGAGAATTGAAAACTTTTCCAGTAGTTGTTAATTTTCTTGAAATCTAAAAAGCACAACCTAGATTCGAGACAATCTATTAAGTAGTTGAACATGTTATTAACCAAACCTCGTGAAAGTGACAAACTGTCACGTTTTCATTTTTTGTCGAAAGCATCTTTATATGTACGGACTGCCTTTTATTTGACGGACTGCACATGCGCAGTTCGGCACGAGACGACCGTTAGACCCGATTATGTGGTTCTACGCATGCGTTTAGCTCATCCGGTATTTCTATTGGAGAAACCGTTTTAGCCTATCTTTATACTGTATTGTCTTTGGTCTGTCTGTCTGTCTGTATGTCTGTCTGTCTGTCTGTATGTCTGTCTGTCTGTCTGTCTGCCTGCCTGTCTGTCTGTCTGTCTGTATGTCTGTCTGTCTGTCTGTCTGCCTGTCTGTCTGTGTACAGTAGAACAAATCCATCCCAGTTCTGCCCCCTCAGTGGGCGTGTACCCGAAGACATTATTGGTGGAAAGAGCTGTCAGTAATTTATTACGGAAGAATGCATGTCCAATCATGGACGAGATTGGTCTAACCATGATAATTAGTTTATTATTTGTTTGGCATACTATAAACATATTCTTAAAGGGACATTTCGAATCAAATTAAATCACATTTTATTTGTCACATACACATATTTAACAGATGTTATTGTGGGTGTAGTGAAATGCTTGTGTTCCTAGCTCCAACAGTGCAGTGGTATCTAACGATACACAACAATACACACAAATCTAAAAGTAAAAGAATGGAATTAAGAAATAAATATTAGAATGAGCATTGTAAGAGTCCGGAGTACGTATATATACACTGAACAAAATTATATATGCAAAATGTAAAGTGCTGGTCCCATGTTTCACAAGCTGAATTAAAAGATCCCAGAAATGTTCCATACTGAATGCACAAAAAGGTTATTTCTCTCAAATTTTGTGCACAAATTTGGTTGCATCCCTATTAGTGAGGATTTTATCCTTTGTCAAGATAATCCATCACATGACAGGTGTGACATATCAAGAAGCTGATTAAACAGCATGATCATTACACAGGTGCACCTTGTGCTGAGGACAATAAAAGGCCACTCTAAAAGGTGCCGTTTTGTCACACAACACAATGCCACAGATGTGTCAGGTTTTGAAGGAGTGTGCAATTGCCAGAGAATTTTATGTTAATTTCTCTACCATAAACCGCCTCCAACTGCATCTCAGTGCTTGAGGCGTCACTACAGACCCCCTGGTTCGATTCCAGGCTGTATCACAACCGGCCATGATTGGGAGTCCCATAGGGCAGCGCACAATTGGCCCAGCGTCGTCCGGGTTTGGCCGGTGTAGGCCGTCATTGTAAATAAGAATTTGTTCTTAACTGACTTGCCTAGTTAAATAAAGGTAAAAAAAAAGAAAAAAAAGAGATTTTGGCTGTACGTCCAACCGGCCTCACAACCGCAGACCACATGTAACCACGCAAGACCAGAACCTCCACATCCGTCTTCTTCACCTGCGGGATCGTCAGAGGGGGGAGGGGGGTGCGGAGGAGTATTTCTGTCAGTAATAAAGCCCTTTTGTGGGGAAAAACTCATTCTGATTGGCTGGGCCTGGCATTGTACAACCACTCCAGTACCCCTGAACGTTGAACAAGGTACTGACACTGACCTGTATATTCAACCACTCCAGTACCCCTACAATTTAATAAGGTACTGACACTGACCTGTATATCCAACCACTCCAGTACCCCTGCACATTGAATAAGGTACTGACACTGACCTGTATATACAACCACTCCAGTACCCCTGCACATTGAATAAGGTACTGACCTGTATATACAACCACTCCAGTACCCCTGCCATTGAATAAGGTTCTGACACTGACCTGTATATCCAACCACTCCAGTACCCCTGCACGTTGAATAAGGTACTGACACTGACCTGTATATACAACCACTCCAGTACCCCTGCACATTGAACAAGGTACTGACACTGACCTGTATATCCAACCACTCCAGTACCCCTGCACATTGAATAAGGTACTGACACTGACCTGTATATTCAACCACTCCAGTACCCCTGCACATTGAATAAGGTACTGACACTGACCTGTATATCCAACCACTCCAGTACCCCTGCCATTGAATAAGGTACTGACACTGACCTGTATATCCAACCACTCCAGTACCCCTGAACATTGAATAAGGTACTGACACTGACCTGTATATCCAACCACTCCAGTACCCCTGCCATTGAATAAGGTACTGACACTGACCTGTATATCCAACCACTCCAGTACCCCTGCCATTGAATAAGGTACTGACACTGACCTGTATATCCAACCACTCCAGTACCCCTGCACATTGAATAAGGTACTGACCTGTATATCCAACCACTCCAGTTTATTTATTTTATTTTATTTAACCTTTATTTAACCAGGAAGGGCTCATTGAGATTTAAAATCTATTTTTCAAGAGCGTCCTGGCCAAGATAGGCAGCACCAAGTCATTACAAAAAATTACAGACAGACAACATGAAAAACTACAAGTAATCTAGTAAAAACCATTCATGAATTCACAAGAGTATAACAATATCAAAAACAGCAAATTAAAAACATTGACAGGTCAGGGAATCAGCCTCAAAATCCTTCATCACATTGAACAAGGTACTGACACTGACCTGTATATCCAACTATTCTCATTTCTTCAATATAATCGTACTTCTTGTGTGTTTTTTATTTTATTATATTTTCTATTATTATTATTATTATTATTATTATTATTATTATTGTTATTATTATTTTATTATTATTATCACTGCATTATTTGGGAACGAGCTCTCAAGGTAAGAATTTCACTGTACTGTTTTACAGCTGTTGTATCCTGTGCACGTGGCAAATAAACTTTGAAACTTGACCGCTACATAGTGCTATGATAGTTAAAATGTAAGACGCTAAAACTAAGAATGTCAAACGTTTCCCTACTAGATACACATTTTACAAAGATTTGTGGATTAACATATAGGTGTAATGGTGAATAGTCAGTTATCTATTAAAATATAGGTCTATTAGTGCAGTCTTTCCCAAAGTTTTTCCTCGAGTAGCCCCAACAGTGCACTTTATTTTGTAACCCTGGACAAACACACCTGATTTAATTTGTCAACTAATCATCATCCCTTAATGAGTTGAATGATGTGTGTACACAAGGAACAGGGTCAGTTATCTATCAACATATAGGACTACTGGTGTATGGTCAGTTATCTATCAACCTATAGGACTACTGGTGTATGGTCAGTTATCTATCAACATATAGGACTACTGGTGTATGGTCAGTTATCTATCAACATATAGGACTACTGGTGTATGGTCAGTTATCTATCAACATATAGGACTACTGGTGTATGGTCAGTTATCTATCAACATATAGGACTACTGGTGTATGGTCAGTTATCTATCAACATATAGGACTACTGGTGTATGGTCAGTTATCTATTAACATATAGGACTACTGGTGTATGGTCAGTTATCTATTAACATATAGGACTACTGGTGTATGGTCAGTTATTTATCAACATATAGGACTACTGGTGTATTTTATTTGTGAATGCAGAGTTAAAAAATAAAAAATGAACACAGGAGGAATAAAATAAAATACACAAGAATGGAGCTATATACAGGAAGTAACAGATCAATGTGGAGCTATATACAGGAAGTACCAGATCAATGTGGAGCTGTATACAGGAAGTACCAGAACAATGTGGAGCTATATACAGGAAGTACCAGTACCAGGAAGTACCAGTACCAGATCAATGTGGAGCTATATACAGGAAGTACCAGATCAATGTGGAGCTATAAACAGGAAGAACCAGTACCAGGTCAATGTGGAGCTACATACAGGAAGTACAAGTACCAGATCAACGTGGAGCTATATACAGGAAGTACCAGTACCAGATCAATGTGGAGCTAAATACAGGGAGTACCAGTACCAGATCAATGTGGAGCTATATACAGGGAGTACCAGTACCAGATCAATGTGGAGCTATATACAGGGAGTACCAGTACCAGATCAATGTGGAGCTATATACAGAAAGTACCGGTACCAGATCAATGTGGAGCTATATACAGGATTACCAGTACCAGATCAATGTGGAGCTATATACAGGAAGTACCAGTACCAGATCAATGTGGAGCTATATACAGGGAGTACCAGATCAATGTGGATCTATATACAGGAAGTACCAGATCAATGAGGAGCTATATACAGGAAGTACCAGATTAATGCAGAGCTATATACAGGAAGTACCAGATCAATGTGGAGCTATATACCGGAAGTAACATTATCAGATCAACGTGGAGCTATATACAGGAAGTACCGGTACCATATCAATGTGTAGCTATATACAAGGAGTACCAGTACCAGATCAATGAGGAGCTATATACAAGGAGTACCAGTACCAGATCAATGTGGAGCTATATACAGGAAGTACCAGTACCAGATCAATGTGGAGCTATATACAGGGAGTACCAGTACCAGATCAATGTGGAGCTATATACAGGGAGTACCAGTACCAGATCAATGTGGAGCTATATAAAGGGAGTACCATTACCAGATCAATGTGGAGCTATATACAGGAAGTACCAGTACCAGATCAATGTGGAGCTATATGCAGGGAGTACCAGTACCAGATCAATGTGCAGTCTTCTTTCACCACCTGGTCCTGCTGATATTTGGAGACGGGATACAGTAGCCGTGAGTCCAGCTTGGGGTTGTACTGGGCCAGCGACTCCTGGTGATAATGCAGGATGAGCTCCGCCACAGAGGAAAAGGTCAGCGGCTCAGAGAAGCCGTACTTGCCGCCTTTCCTGAGAGTCAATGTGTATTCTCCTTGCACCTTGCTTGAGGCGTCTCGGACCAAGAAAGTACCATCCGGAGTGTCTCTCATCTTCTCATACACCTCCTCTCTGGAAATGTCTCCCCAGTACCACTCTGCATCAGCCATCTTGCTGCCGTCTCCATTGATCACAGAGGATGCCATGGCTTTGGTTTTGGAAGGCTTGGGAGGCAGTCTCTCCTGCACCTGGGCAGAAACCTGACAATCTTCTTCTGACCCAGCGGTGAGCAGCAGAGGGCTGAAGAGGAGTATGAGGGTGTGTGGGTCCAGGCCATTGTGGGCCGAGCTCTGGCCCACTCGGTCCAGGTGTCTGAGAAAAATGAAACTTTCATTTCATAACATAATCAACTTAAATACGTAACATTCTGCAATATAAACTGGCTGTCAACCATTAAATAAATAAAACACATTTTTTTCTACAATATTTTTGTTATTTTATTTTGCCTAAAACTGATGTTTGAGAAACGGGTAAAATAAAGTATGTTTCTATAACTTTCATCCCAAACAAAACCAAACCAAACGAGCCCAAACAAAACCAAACCAAACGAGCCCAAACAAAACCAAACCAAACGAGCCCAAACAAAACCAAACCAAACGAGCCCAAACAAAATCCAAACTCATCTCCAATACAGAAAAACGTGCAGTCCAAATAAATTGTGTGCCAGGGCAGCACTGGCTAAACGGAAAACACAAAATGTATTGACTGCCCACCATTGAGACAATCAGCAACCAAGTTGTCCTTACCATGGACATGTCTGATTACAAGAGGAAACTCCTGCAATGTCCGTAGTAACTTTCCTCCCATGATTTTCCTCAGTGGAATTTGTGTGATTGGGTCAGAGTCACCAACATCAAATGTCATGCTCTAGTTCATTTGTCTGGGTTGGCACATCTGAGAATAAACCCTGATATTCATAAAGCAGTGCAACAATGTCGCCTTTTTCCTCCGGAGACAAGTGTGCCAAAAAGCCATCAAGGTTTTCCTAGAATCTCTGAGTTACTCAACCGTCCAACCGGCACAGGGTGTATTAGGCTTTCCTCGTACCCTTGAGGAAGACTATAGTCAACGGTGACAGCAGTGGCCAGAGGCAGAACATCACTACTGGTTTCGCCGCCCGATTGTAGCGGGTGAGGTATGGTTCAACATGTTGACGTGACACAGCCGGGATTTTCTCCTGCACACCGGAGGGGCGATGATGTAATCCAGATGACCGGTTTTGGGGTAAGGGCCTGAAAAGCGAGCTTGCAACCGTGAACCCAGAATGGGCAACAAAACCCAGGACTTGGTCACCCACATCGAAAGTGCGGTTCCAGGCCTTCCAATCGTACCAAACTTTAATTTTCGTTTGCGCCCTCTCCAGATTCTCACTGGCAAACTCACAGGTGCAATGCAATCTGTATCGAAAAGCACTAACCTGCTCCAACAGATTCGTTTTTGTTTTTAAGGTGTCACCCTGCAACAACCTCTCTCTCAGCAACCTCAAAGGACCTCTGACATGATGTCCAAACACAAGTTAATTCGGACTAAAACCAAGAGATTCCTGAACAACCACCCCTTCATCCCAGTCTTTCTCAAACTCAAAACAGACTTCAAAATCTGATGAAATCTCTCCAGAGCACCTTGGGACTCTGGGTGGTAGGCACTAGAGGGGCAGTGGGTTACACCCAACTATTGTAGCACTTGCTGGAAGACCTTTGACATGAAATTCTAACCTTGGTCCGACTGCACTACCTGCGGAAGTCCAAATGTTGAAAAATAATTTCACTAGGGCCTTAACAATACTGGGAGCTGTGATCTTCCTCAGTGGAATGGCCTCAGGGAAAAGAATGGCAGCACACATAATGGTTAAGATAAACTGGTTACCACTCTTTGCTTTAGGCAAAGGACCAACACAGTCCACCAGAACCCTGCTGAAAGGTTTGTCAAAAACAGGAATAGGCTGCAAAGGTGCAACCGGTACAGCTTGGTTTGGTTTTGGTCCGCTGGCAAACGCGACAGGATTTACAGTAAGACACAACATCCTGTTTCAGACCAGGCCAGAAGAAGTTACACAAGATATGGTCATACATCTTGTTGAGCCCAAGATGGCCTGCCATACTACCATCATGAGCCAACTTCAGTATCTCTTGTCGAAGCGTAACTGGAATGACAATTTGAGATACACTGGGCCAATCATCTTGCCCAGAAGTGGTGTGACAACACCATTTCTTCATTAGAACACCATCTGTCAAAGTAACCCACACAAACTTCATCAAACTCCTCTTCTGGACGTAGCTCAGCAAAAAGACAGGAGAGGGAAACATCATTACTGTGTTCCACAATCAGCTGCTTCCATCGTCTCAGCTGTAGGAACCCTCGCTCACCGCGGGTTTTCAACTCAGGAGGCTCAGCGAAATCAGGATCATCCATAAACGTCTCAGACAGACCGACCATGGTGGGATTGCTGACATCCTCCTCAACACTAGACTTGCTCCCAGCGACTTTCTTAGACATAGCACGTGTAATGGCACAAGTAGGGTACTTTACTGATAACCCATCAGGTTCTCCTATTCCGGGTTCCTTACAAATGACAGGATTTGGCATGACCTTCCCTCCAGCCAAATCGTTTCTCATAATGAATGAAACCCCCTTCACCGGTAGGTTAGGCCTCACTCCAACGACAACGGAACCAGAAATAAGACCAGACTTCTGTTCCACATTATACACTGCTCAAAAAAATTAAGGGAACACTTAAACAACACAATGTAACTCCAAGTCAATCACACTTCTGTGAAATCAAACTGTCCACTTAGGAAGCAACACTGATTGACAATAAATGTCACATGCTGTTGTGCAAATGGAATAGACAACAGGCGGAAATTATAGGCAATTAGCAAGACACCCCCAATAAAGGACTGGTTTTGCAGATGGTGACCACAGACCACTTCTCAATTCCTATGCTTCCTGGCTGATGTTTTGGTCACTTTTGAATGCTGGCAGTGCTTTCACTCTAGTGGTAGCATGAGACGGAGTCTACAACCCACACAAGTGGCTCAGGTAGTGCAGCTCATCCAGGATGGCACATCAATGCGAGCTGTGGCAAGAAGGTTTGCTGTGTCTGTCAGCGTAGTGTCCAGAGCATGGAGGCGCTACCAGGAGACAGGCCAGTACATCAGGAGACGTGGAGGAGGCCGTAGGAGGGCAACAACCCAGCAGCAGGACTGCTACCTCCATCTTTGTGCAAGGAGGAGTAGGAGGAGTACTGCCAGAGCCCTGCAAAATGACCTCCAGCAGGCCACAAATGTGCATGTGTCTGCTCAAACGGTCAGAAACAGACTCCATGAGGGTGGTATGAGGGCCCGACGTCCACAGGTGGGGGTTGTGCTTACAGCCCAACACCGTGCAGGACGTTTGGCATTTGCCAGAGAACACCAAGATTGGCAAATTCACCACTGGCGCCCTGTGCTCTTCACAGATGAAAGCAGGTTCACACTGAGCACATGTGACAGACGTGACAGAGTCTGTAGACGCCGTGGAGAATGTTCTGCTGCCTGCAACATCCTCCAGCATGACCGGTTTGGCGGTGGATCAGTCATGGTGTGGGGTGGCATTTATTTGGGGGGCCGCACAGCCCTCCATGTGCTCGCCAGAGGTAGCCTGACTGCCATTAGGTACCGAGATGAGATCCTCAGACCCCTTGTGAGACCATATGCTGGTGAGGTTGGCCCTGGGTTCCTCCTAATGCAAGACAATGCTAGACCTCATGTGGCTGGAGTGTGTCAGCAGTTCCTGCAAGAGGAAGGCATTGATGCTATGGACTGGCCCGCCCGTTCCCCAGACCTGAATCCAATTGAGCACATCCGGGACATCATGTCTCGCTCCATCCACCAACGCCACGTTGCACCACAGACTGTCCAGGAGTTGGCGGATGCTTTAGTCCAGGTCTGGGAGGAGATCCCTCAGGAGACCATCCGCCACCTCATCAGGAGCATGCCCAGGCGTTGTAGGGAGGTCATACAGGCATGTGGAGGCCACACACACTACTGAGCCTCATTTTGACTTGTTTTAAGGACATCACATCAAAGGTGGATCAGCCTGTAGTGTGGTTTTCCACTTTAATTTTGACGGTGACTCCAAATCCAGACCTCCATGGGTTGATAAATTTGATTTCCATTGATAATTTTTGTGTGATTTTGTTGTCAGCACATTCAACTATGTAAAGAAAAAAGTATTTAATACGATTATTTCATTCATTCAGATCCAGGATGTGTTATTTTAGTGTTCCCTTTATTTTTTTGAGCAGTGTACAAAGGAACTTCCATGCAACCCATCTCCACGCCTTGAACTAACACACTGTAACCAGTTGCTGAAATGTCAGAAAGGCAAAACACCCTCCAACATGAAGGACTGGGCATCGCCAGCGTCTCGCAGTATCTTCACCGGCTGCTTAACAGCATCACCACTCTGCGGAGACACGAACCTGTCTGAAACAAAGGGTTCATACACATCTGATCCAAAATCTTGTTTAGGAGATACGCCAGTCCCAACCAGAGACTTAATGGGCTGGAGTGCTCCCACAAGAAGAAACGGCTGGGTGCTTTGTTTGTGAAGGCACTTTCATGTGTCAACACGAACTCATCTGCAAGAACTTCAGCTTTGTCAATAGTGAGATCCTTGTGCTCTAATTTCTGTTGCTTCAACTTTGCCTCAGTCCTCAGTCTATGAGACTCACCCCACTACCCGGAGCACCCTTTTCATCAACCTCACTCGCCGGAAGGGTTTCCTCCTCCACCAAAGTAGTACCGATCAACTCTTTGACTACTGCTTTTGGATCGCCAGATACGTAGAATAAACTATAGGATATCAATTGAAGTCCCTAGGAGGCCCTATACAGTGGGGAAAAAAAGTATTTAGTCAGCCACCAATTGTGCTAGTTCTCCCACTTAAAAAGATGAGAGAGGATGAGAGAGGCCTGTAATTTTCATCATAGGTACACGTCAACTATGACAGACAAATTGAGAAAAAAAATCCAGAAAATCACATTGTAGGATTTTTTATGAATTTATTAGCAAATTATGATGGAAAATAAGTATTTGGTCACCTACAAACAAGCAAGATTTCTGGCTCTCACAGACCTGTAACTTCTTCTTTAAGAGGCTCCTCTGTCCTCCACTCGTTACCTGTATTAATGGCACCTGTTTGAACTTGTTATCAGTATAAAAGACACCTGTCCACAACCTCAAACAGTCACACTCCAAACTCCACTATGGCCAAGACCAAAGAGCTGTCAAAGGACACCAGAAACAAAATTGTAGACCTGCAACAGGCTGGGAAGACTGAATCTGCAATAGGTAAGCAGCTTGGTTTGAAGAAATCAACTGTGGGAGCAATTATTAGGAAATGGAAGACATACAAGACCACTGATAATCTCCCTCGATCTGAGGCTCCACGCAAGATCTCACCCCGTGGGGTCAAAATGATCACAAGAATGGTGAGCAAAAATCCCAGAACCACACGGGGGGACCTAGTGAATGACCTGCAGAGAGCTGGGACCAAAGTAACAAAGCCTACCATCAGTAACACACTACGCCACCAGGGACTCAAATCCTGCTGTGCCAGACGTGTCCCCCTGCTTAAGCCAGTACATGTCCAGGCCCGTCTGAAGTGTGCTAGAGTGCATTTGGATGATCCAGAAGAGGATTGGGAGAATGTCATATGGTCAGATGAAACCAAAATAGAACCTTTTGGTAAAAACTCAACTCGTCGTGTTTGGAGGACAAAGAATGCTGAGTTGCATCCAAAGAACACCATACCTACTGTGAAGCATGGGGGTGGAAACATCATGCTTTGGGGCTGTTTTTCTGCAAAGGGACCAGGACGACTGATCCGTGTAAAGGAAAGAATGAATGGGGCCATGTATCGTGAATTTTTAAGTGAAAACCTCCTTCCATCAGCAAGGGCATTGAAGATGAAACGTGGCTGGGTCTTTCAGCATGACAATGATCCCAAACACACCGCCTGGGCAACGAAGGAGTGGCTTCGTAAGAAGCATTTCAAGGTCCTGGAGTGGCCTAGCCAGTCTCCAGATCTCAACCCCATAGAAAATCTTTGGAGGGAGTTGAAAGTCCGTGTTGCCCAGCGACAGCCCCAAAACATCACTGCTCTAGAGGAGATCTGCATGGAGGAATGGGCCAAAATTGGGCCAGCAACAGTGTGTGAAAACCTTGTGAAGACTTACAGAAAATGTTTGACCTGTGTCATTGCCAACAAAGGGTATATAACAAAGTATTGAGAAACTTTTGTTATTGACCAAATACTTATTTTCCACCATAATTTGCAAATAAATTCATAAAAAATCCTACAATGTGATTTTCTGGAGTATTCTTTCTCATTTTGTCTGTCATAGTTGACGTGTACCTATGATGAAAATTATAGGCCTCTCTCATCTTTTTAAGTGGGAGAACTTGCACAATTGGTGGCTGACTAAATACTTTTTTTCTCCCACTGTATGTCTAACTTAGCTGCAATTTGTTGAACTTTTCTTCACTTTCAGGAGAAAGACAAGCAGGCAAGGCTCCCAGACCACAAATGGGGAGGTCTTAATGCTCCAAAAAGAAGTGCTGCTCCTAGAAAAAACTAAATTAGAAACTGAAATGAATAAACTGGGGGTAGAGACACAAACTTTGAATTTGAAAACTATCAAGATCCAGAAACTACAAGCAAGTGGATCCCAATCACAAGTATCCCTTAACTACTGCAGCCTAAATAACAATATTAATACTATATAAAAAATATATGTAATGTCTGAATGAAGACAATAAAACGAGTAGAAAAGTATGATTGTAGCTAATAATGTGTTATTTTGTTTTACATTGTGAGCAGATTTGAACGCTTATTTGATAGATAAAGGGATGGTAGGTTTTATATTGTAGATTAGAAGAACACATTTACTTAATAATTATAATAAAACAGATTTAAAGTGCCAAGAACACAATTCAAAGAACATTGGGTTGAGGTTGGATGATTATGAAGGCCAGGTCATCTGATGCAGCACTCCATCACTCTCCTTCTTGGTAAAATAGCCCTTACACAGCCTGGAGGTGTGTTTTGGGTCATTGTCCTGTTGAAAAACAAATGATAGTCCCACTAAGCGCAAACCAGATGGGATGGCATATCGCTGCACAATGCTGTGGTAGCCATGCTGGTTAAGTGTGCCTTGAATTCTAAATAAATCACTGAGAGTGTCACAAGCAAAGCACCCCCACACCATCAAACCTCCTCCTCCATGCTTCACGGTGGGACCCACACATGCAGAGATCATCAGTTCACCTACTCTGCGTCTCACAAAGACGCGGCGGTTGGAACCAAAAATCTCAAATATGGACTCATCAGACCAAAGGATAGATTTCCACCAGTCTAATGTCCATTGCTCGTGTTTCTTGGCCCAAGCAAGTCTCTTCTTCTTATTGGTGTCCTTTAGTAGTGGTTTCTTTGCAGCAATTTGACCATGAAGGCCTGATTCACACAGTCTCCTCTGAACAGTTGATGTTAAGATGTGTCTGTTACTTGAACTCTGTGAAGCATTTATTTGGACTCCAATCTGAGGTGCAGTTAACTCTAATGAACTTATCCTCTGCAGCAGAGGTAACTCTGGGTCTTCCTTTCCTGTGGTGGTCCTCATGAGAGCCAGTTTCATCATAGCGCTTTATGGTTTTTGCGACTGCACTTGAAGAAAATGGAAGAGGCCATATCCACTTGCCTCTTCCATTTTTGCGGTAATTAGTTGGTTGTAATTTTGGGTAGAGCAGACATTTCCATATATTTTTGTTAGCTGCATGTGTGACAACTCCACCAGTCCTATTTATGATATAATTTACAAAGAATAAACTGTTTTTAAACATTTTTTCCAAAAATAACATTTTTCTATCAATTAGTATATTTGAGTTTAACCACAATATTTGTTGTATTATTTGTTCTGTCTTTTCTGGTGGATTATACTGAAATTGCAACCAACTTTCTATGACTTCTTTTAAAAATAGCGATACTTTGGAGATTATTTAATTTTCAAACAACTGAAAATGAGAGGTTGTAATCTGAATAAAGGGGAAAAGGCCATTCTAGAACACGGGTGACACATTCTTACTAAGCTGCTTGAGAACCAGTTCTGATGTATGTATAACTTTTGTATGACTGAAGCCTTTAGTGAGAGGTCTAATGCTTAAATATTTAATCACTTATGCCCTCCGAATTCATAGTCATTATATAAATAGGGCTGTTTAATTTTGTCTGGCTTGTCATTACAAATAAAATTGAGAATTTTTACTCATATAATTTTAAAAACAAGTCGTTAGGTGTAGGAAGGGCCATAAGCAAATAGGTAAACGGGGATATGACTAAAGAGTTAATCAGGGTGATTTTTCCACCAATAGACAGTATTTACCTTTTCATGCTAGCAAGATCTTATCTATTCTTGCTAACTTTCTATTAAAATGTATTGCATTGAGATAATTTGTTTTTTTTCGGGATATGAATACCGAGTATGTCCACTTTACTGTCAGACCATTTTATTGGTAAACTACACAGTAATGTAAAAGTTGTATTTTTTTGTGATCCAATATGTAATATAGTACACTCATAATTAGTTTTTAAGCCCTGGATTTCTAGCCCCTTGATATTATTGTTGGATCTGATTTTAATAGCTAACATTTCGATGGCCATAATAAATAGATATGCCGATAGTGGACAACCTTGTTTCACTCCTCTTGACAGTTTAATACTTTCTGAGAAGTAGCCAATATTTACTATTTTACACCTGGGGTTACTATACATAACTTTAACCCATTGCATTTCTATATCAATTCCAGTCGTACTTTATCAAAAGCCTTTACAGTCAGCTATGAATAGCAGGCCTGGTTTCCCAGATTGTTCATAGTGTTCTATTGTTTCCAGTACTTGTCTTATATTATCTCCAGTGTATCGTCCATGTAAAAAACCTGTCTGATTAGGATGAATACATTTTCATGTTGATGTAAACTCAGTAATATATGCCCTGTTTTAGATGGGATGTGATGATTTGACAATACTTACATTTCATCTCAAACCTGCATAGTCCTTCAGGCTCAACACTGTAAAAGTCTATTTCTGCTTGATCCGAAAATGTGGTCGGAGGCTCCATGTGGTGGGTGTGACACAATCGCGGAGCCTCCGGAGACCAAACGGAGCTCCTTACCGCATCGCCGTGCGCCTCCCAAATGTTGTAACAATGAGGAGGGCTCTGTATAGCTCTGCATTGACATGATTGGTTGACGGTAGGTGGGGGCGGGAGGTCCTGTATAAACACAAACTCACTTCCTTGCCAACTTCCTTCACAACAGCTCAGCACTATGAATGCCCCGACTTCTGCAGAGGCCACATCACTGTAAATGCTGCACGGCCAATGCAGGCGTCCGATTGACCATGCAACGCCTTTAAGAAAGGTATGAGTACACTGTGAATATTTGTTTTTATTAGTCATTTTCCAGCTTCACACAACCACTCATATTGTTCCCTGTTTAGAGTTAAAATGAGAGCAGCTTCACTCCGGAGTCTCCTGGGCGATTGTAGCTCAACGTGTTGAATGAGTCGAATGGAAATCAAATACATTTAAATCATTCTGATCATGTCAGTCTGCTCTCTATGAGTTATTTAGGTATATTTAGTTATCCCACCTCTCTATGAGTTATTTAGGTGTATTTAGTTATCCCACCTCACTATGAGTTATTTAGGTATATTTAGTTATCCCACCTCACTATGAGTTATTTAGGTATATTTAGTTATCCCACCTCAAGACACCGATACAGCACCTTCTCACACCTCATGTGTTAATTAATTGTCACGTGTGCATACCAAAATACCAAAATCATCAAGTAATTATCCATTTAGTCCAAAATAAATTCCCAACCATGTGGACTGACTTCAAATGAAATGTCAGCCAACACTCAGCACTGTTGTCAATATCAAGGACATTATCAACATAAATATTTGACTACTGATTCATTGTGTTTTAGGAAACAATTATTTTTTTATAATCAATTATTCATTTCATTTGACCCTGCTTGGTCAAAGTTCGACTTCTTTCTGAATAAGTTGGGTAGCGTGCCCAGTCTGCACCTGTTATAGCCTACCTGTTGACATGTTGTGCACAAGCATTGTCTCTGAGAATCACTTTGTCACGTGCATTTTAATAAATAGGTGAAAAGAAATTAATGAAAAATTATTCAATTCATTTTGTCTTCATTATCCCACAGGCAAAGCAACACAACATGTAACCTGCTTGGTGGTTGAAAAAGCCACAACTGTTGTGTCAATCTTTCAATCCATATTTTTTTGGAATGTTTCCTGTCTTAGTCCAGTTCTGCATAATAATGTTTGATGAAACCAGGCCAGCGAAAGAAGATAACGGGAAACTTGTTGCCTTGATATATTGATGAACTGGTTGATTGAAACAAACTTTCTTTTCGGACTGATCCAGGTTGTAATATGAGTTTATATGACCTGATTAAATGTATCCACACATGTACACTGTCTGGTCTCTGCTGTACTTTCTGACACCGTTGAATAGTTAACTGCCTGTTAATAATAGTTAACTGCCTGTTAATAATAGTTAACTGCCTGTTAATAATAGTTAACTGCCTGTTAATAATAGTTAACTGCCTGTTAATAATAGTTAACTGCCTGTTAATAATAGTTAACTGCCTGTTAATAATAGTTAACTGCCTGTTAATAATAGTTAACTGCCTGTTAATAATAGTTAACTGCCTGTTAATAATAGTTAACTGCCTGTTAATAATAGTTAACTGCATGTTAATAATAGTTAACTGCATGTTAATAATAGTTAACTGCCTGTTAATAATAGTTAACTGCATGTTAATAATAGTTAACTGCCTGTTAATAATAGTTAACTGCCTGTTAATAATAGTTAACTGCCTGTTAATAATAGTTAACTGCCTGTTAATAATAGTTAACTGCCTGTTAATAATAGTTAACTGCCTGTTAATAAATCAGCCAGAATAACACCTAGCTCTCCTTTGCAAGACAAACTAAATATGAAGAACATATTGGTCCTTTCTGATTGGTCCTTTGCTATGGAGATGATTTTCTATTTCTTGATTTCAGTCTATTGCACATTTTTGTTTGTAGTTAAGTAGCCTAATGTTAAGTAGCCTAATGTTAAGTAGCCTAATGTTAAGTAGCCTAATGTTAAGTAGCCTAATGTTAAGTAGCCTAATGTTAAGTCCCAGTGATGTATTGACACACTGTTTATAAACCATATTGACCCTCCCCTTTAACTGCCCCTAATTGCCCCTCCCCTTTAACTGCCCCTAATTGACCCTCCCCTTTAACTGCCCCTAATTGCCCCTCCCCTTTAACTGCCCCTAATTGCCCCTCCCCTTTAACTGCCCCTAATTGACCCTCCCCTTTAATTGCCCCTAATTGCCCCTCCCCTTTAACTGCCCCTAATTGACCCTCCCCTTTAACTGCCCCTATATGACCCTCCACTTTAACTGCCCCTAATTGACCCTCCCCTTTAACTGCCCCTAAATGACCCTCCCCTTTAACTACCCCTAAATGACCCATTTTAGCTACAACATCCAAGTCCACTGGAGAGGATCTGCTTGAGCAAAGTGAGGTGTAGAATCACTGATCTACAAATAGTACTCCCTGCCAAATAATAGGTTCTGTGCGAGAAATATTTGCAGAGCTACACCTTCCACTGGCTCAGGCGATAACCCCTGCCAAATACATGATCAACCAGATATTGATCGATTGGAGATAGCTTGTGTCAGTTACAGAACGTTTCCTAGGATTCTATACCTGCAGCGACACTAGCAGGATAATGCTGAAATACTGGTAAAAGCACAGCGCCTCCAATTCTGGACCAAAAGGCAGGGCCATAGGTAATGCCTGGTCTCAATATCTAGTAGATACATCAGGGTGAAAGGTAGCTTAGTGGTTAGAGCGTTGGTTCGAATACCCAAGCCGATGTGTCCTTGAGCAAGGCACTTAAGCCTAATTCGCATACTACTATGGCTGACCCTGTAAAACAACACATTACACTGGCTGACCCTGTAAAACAACACATTACAATGGCTGACCCTGTAAAACAACACCTATCATACTACTATGGCTGACCCTGTAAAACAACATATTTCAATAAAAAATAAAAAATTACATGTGAACAAGATCATGCTTAAATATAACATGTAACTGCCCTCAGTGTTTACAGTGCTGACTCCCTGGTGCCAGCAGAGAGCAGCTTCACTGATGAATCCTGCAGGTCGTTGTCACTCGGGTCCAACTCTCTCAGCTGGGAGGAGTTAGAGCTGATTGTTACCGTGGTAAAGTTGGTTTGAGATTCGATATTCGCCAGACATTTGGAACTACTGTAGATAATACTACATCATCATAATAATAATAATACTCTCGAGCAACATACCTCAGATTCCTTTTGAAGGAAAAAAGGTGTACAACATTGCACAGGTCTTTTTCCCCCCGATTCTGATGCGAGTTTCTCTGTAGCTCAGCTGGTAGAGCACGGCGCTTGTAACGCCAAGGTAGTGGGTTTGATCCCCGGGACCACCCATACACAAAAAAATAAATAAATGTATGCACGCATGACTGTAAGTCGCTTTGGATAAAAGCGTCTGCTAAATGGCATATTATATTATAATTATAATTATTATAATTATAATCACATGGCAGCCTGGTGCACCAGCAATATAACTAGTTAGGGACCGTCAATGAAGTGCATGATCACAATATAACATTTTAATAGCTCTTCAACCACGTGACTTAGAAACCTTATTTCAATTGTCCATTATTCCTTATATAGAGAGGCATGTTGCACACCCTTTAGTTTTCTCATAAAATGATTCCAACCTTTAAAAATATATATGGAGGGAGGGAGGTAGAGACCGACAGTGTTATTGGGAGGGAGGTGGAGACAGACAGCTGGGGATGGCTGGGGGTGGCTGGGGATGGCTGGGGATGGCTGGTGCTGGGGTTGGCTGGTGCTGGTGCTGGGGATGGCTGGTGCTGGGGATGGCTGGGGATGACTGGGGATGGCTGGGGATGGCTGGGGATGTCTGGGGGTGGCTGGGGATGTCTGGGGGTGGCTGGGGATGGCTGGGGATGTCTGGGGGTGGCTGGGGATGGGGATGGCTGGGGATGGCTGGGGATGTCTGGGGGTGGCTGGGGATGGCTGGGGATGTCTGGGGGTGGCTGGGGATGGGGATGGCTGGGGATGGCTGGGGATGGATGGGGATGGCTGGGGCTGGCTGGGGATGGGGATGGCTGGGGGTGGCTGGGGCTGGGGATGGCTGGGGCTGGGAATGGCTGGGGCTGGGGATAGCTGGGGATGGCTGGGGCTGGGGATGGCTGGGGATGGCTGGGGATGGCTGGGGATGGAGTTGGGAATGGGAATGGTGCTGAATTCATCTTTGAAAAGGAGAATGGGAGCCAATGTTCTGACTGGATCTAGACGTTTATAGTCTGACAACAGACACGTTTATAGTCTGACAACAGACACGTTTATAGTCTGACAACAGACACGTTTATAGTCTGACAACAGACACGTTTATAGTCTGACAACAGACACTTTTATAGTCTGACAACAGACATACAGTGGCAGCTGGGCCACCGGGACTCAGTGACAGTAGGCTAATTAGATATTATTAGATATTGTCCTCCTCGTGGTCTGTGTTCAACTCTGAAGGCTGGTAGTGAACTGCACACATTGTACGTTGCACAACGTAATATTGTGTTTTTTTGGTGTGAATTTGAGAGTGAATTTAATCTCCCCTTTTATACCTTCACACGCTCATGACAGCACAACACCCCAGAAGGCTGTGTGAATGAGGAACAAACAACTGCTTTCTGAAATGACATACCCTCCTTGCTTAAAATAAATCACAGCAGGCCGGGAGGCAACAGCTGGACACACACACACATAGAGGCTGCATGGACAGGTGTGTGTTAGAGTCACATTATTATAGTGTGTGTCTACATCCATAAAGTGTATGAGTGTCTGTGTGAGATGTTTGGCTTGTTGTAGTGGTTTGGGGTGTGTAATTTAGAAACTACAAACGTCACCATAAATATGTTGCAACATCAGCAAGTCAGCATCAGTGATTCATAATGACTTGGCTTGGCACAAATGTATCGACCTCAATTACATTTTAGTCATTTAGCAGACGCTCTTATCCAGAGCGACTTACAGTTAGTGAGTGCATACAATTTCATACTGGCCCCCCGTGGGAATCGAACCCACAACCCTGGCGTTGCAGGCGCCATGCTCTACCAACTGAGCTACACGGGGCCTAAATCATTTGTACCAGTTGGTGCTCATACAGCAGTGATATCCCATTGACTGACTCTCTAGTAATGTGGCATGTTGGCTGACTACACGATGGATGTATCCCAAATTACACCCTATTCCCTTTATAGTGCACTACTTTAGACCAGGGGCCAGGACACCCTATTCCCTATATAGTGCACTACTTTAGACCAGGGGCCATGACACCCTATTCCCTATATAGTGCACTACTTTAGACCAGGCCTGATAATACCAGACAGGAAAGAGGTGACCCTCTGACCAACGCAGCCGGGACAGAGACAAGTAATGACCCAAAACACACGGCCAAGGCAACAAAGGAGTGGCTCAAGAAGAAGCACATTAAGGTCCTGGAGTGGCCTAGCCAGTCTCCAGACCTTAATCCCATAGAAAATATGTGGAGGGAGCTGAAGGTTTGAGTTGCCAAACGTCAGCCTTGAAACCTTAATGACTTGGAGAAGATCTGCAAAGAGGAGTGGGACAAAA